ACATGTGAATAGGGTGAAGTGTTAGCAATAATGATAATTTGTTTTAATATCGTTAATGTTTTACCTTTATTTTGTTTACCAATTGCTGCAGTGATTGAATTTAAGTAACATTCAGAATATGGAATTTTCATTAATTTTTCCTTAGATAGAGCATTTCTATTATCACTCAATGCTTCATTAATCATATCATCTACGTATGTATTATATACTCCTGTTAATTCTTCATAAGGGGTGGATGAATTTAAATCCATTTAATCAAAAATAAATTTATAATTTTAAACATTTCTATTCATCAATATTTCATCATATGAACTTCTATACTGTGGGGGTGTACCTGTTGGATGATATTTCAAACCTTCATCCGGTGTCCATGTCCAATATGTTGTCCTAGTAAACCAAACCTGAGGAGGATTTGTCACCTTTGAACAGTAAGTGTCATTTTCACCCTGAATGATTGGATAAGCTTTCACTTGTACTGTAACTTGTGAGTTGAAAGTTTCTAATCCATCAAAGAATATACCCGCTCCATCACGTTGAACTGGAATAGTGCATAAGAATGAAGTTTGGTCTTTCCATGTTCTAGCTAATGGTGTGCCATTATCATCATTCAGTGGTCTAGTTAATGAGTCCTCGTATTCTTCCGTGCATTCATTCACTCCATCTAAATCAGAAGCTTGAAGCATACGTGTAAAGAATATGTCGCCCACTGTGGTCATCGCTTGATCGGGGAAGTTTCTGGAATCTATAGTGACCTGAAGACCTCGAAGCATTGGATTTTCTAAAACTGTTCTTTGCATTGCATTCTTCGGAAATGCTAACACAACATCTGTAACATTATGAAGAGCGTATGAGAAATCTGAGCTGATACCTTCAGGAGTGATGCAACCTCCATTTAGTGAACGAACGTCAATATGTTGAGCTGGAATCATGAATGGATCTTCCTTACTGAATAAACGTGGTATTGCTTTAACTGATTCTTCAATTAAACCGTATCCTGGTGTAATACATTTATCCTCTAAAACTTCCATCTTTGTGCATGAAATAATAACATCTTCAACTGTTGCGTCAGCAGATGTAGCGGCTAAGCTTGTAATTAATTTTGCAGGAAGTCCGATTTGTTGGAATTTGCGATCATATTTATAAACATGATTCATAATCTTTTCATAATTTTCATCAGTTATCTTTTCATAAACGTAATTTTGTAAATCAGCAACTCTTAACGGGTCAACCTGACAAAATACTAAAGTATCCCTGAAAACATAATATTTAAGAATGATTTCACCAAATGATTTAGGATAATCATCGAACGCCTGAAATGCTAACAAATCATTTACTGGAATAAATATAAAAGTGATATCAACTTCTTCATTTGCTTTCTTGAAAACTTCTGAAGGGTCAATATATTTACCACATACTGAGTTATCATATTTTTGAACATTATTATATAACGAATGAACAAACTTTTTAACTTTCCTTTCTGATTTTGGTTTATATGTTGCAAATGCGAAAGATTCACGGGCACAATCCATCTGAAGATAACCAGCATCACCTCTTTCGGTTTCTACTTCTAATTGTTTAAAGCTTTGATTTGATGATTTGTAACCAACGAATAAACGCATGCATTTAAAAGCGGCATCACATGTGAAAGCTTTATTTGAAACTAGAGTTGCTTTAACTTTGCGTTTAATATATGTGTCACCTAATTGATTCACATCATGAGCCGGATTTGTAATTCTTAAATGAGTTTGTTTATCATCAAAATATGGAGTATCAGAGTCATAACATGAACTTTCAAGTTCTCTATAATATCTTCTTCCGTCATTCTTTGCGAATATTTCATTTATCTTTTCGAATGAATGAAACACATTTCCATTAATCGGTTTGGTGTTTGGCACTAAATAGTTAGTCGTCATTTATTAATAAATAAAAAATCAAAATTAAAAGATGAAAATGAATTTTTAATTTTAATGAAATAATCAACTATGGCTGCAGGATTCTTTAAAAAGTTATGGGATAAAGTAAAAAGAGGAGCGCATAAAGTTTGGGAAGGGATTAAGAAAGGAGCAAATTGGATATTTAAGAATAAAGAAGCAATTAGTGACGTTGCTGAACAAATAGCACCTAATGTTCCGGTAAGGGAAGTATTAAATAAAGGAGATAAGGTTTATCGTCGACTACAACCGATATTGAGATAAAAATAATATTTATTTTTCCACTATTTACCCCCTATTTTATTAAGTATTCCTTCAGCAATTCCACCAATTGCGTTACCTGCTTGTGCTCCCATCGCTGGATTACCTGCTTTAGTACCTAATACTCCACCTATGATAGTTCCTGCCGTTTTCGCTACTGGTGCCAAAAAGTTTGCAACAGGTTTAATAACCTTTTTATAAACCCAACCCGCAGCTTTCTTAATTCCTTCCCATAATTTTTTAAAGAATCCTGCCGCCATCTCTGATTTAATATTAATTAAAAAATTTATTTCATCACTTATATTCTAATTTTTATTTAATGATAAATGAAACCGATTTTAAAAATAAATGAAACAGAGGAGGAAGAAATAAATGAAAGTGAAAATGTTCAACAAAAAATAAACGTTGTTAAACCAATTACTGAAATAAAACTTTTTTCATCTGTTGATGAATTTAATGACTATTATGCTAATAATAAAAAATTATTTGAAGAATTGACAACATGTAAATTGAATAAAATGTTTAAAGTTGAGGACAGAGTCCAAGACCCAGAGGGTCATGGATTCAAAATTTCAAAAATAAAAGGTGTTGTTAGTTTAAAATCTATTCCTCAATCAAGAATCACCTCATTAATGAAAATTGATGATTTAACAAAAAGAATAGAAATTATTGAAGAGCGAATGAATCAAATAATTGATTTCATAAATCATGACTCGTTGAGCCTGGGTCCTTAAAGCCCAAGGCACAAAGTGCCCAGGACTTAAAGTCCATCACTGAGTTCAAGGTTATATTCATCAAATATTTCATTATTAAATGCAACTTCTGCTAGTTTATTTATTTTTTCAATACGATCATTTGAAAGTCTATCGTTTAATTTTTTCTGAAGTTTTTCATTTTCTAGTTCTGAAACTTTATTTGGATGATATTTAAACCCGTTAAATTCTTTTTCCTCAGTTTTGATCATTAATTTACAAAGAACTTTTGTGGTTGGAATTCGTTTAAACCATTTATCATTAATATTTGTTATAAATTCAATATCTGGAATTAATTCCCAAATTTTTGCATTTTCAATTAATTTATTATCAAATGCAAAAGCAATAGGTTTAATATTAAACTTACCTTTATAATATATACTTTCTACATAATCATCGAAATAAACATCTACTTGTTTAACATTTTCAAGAATTGGTGAAAGAACATCCATTAATTGATTGACGGTTACGAATCTTGATCCACTCATTTTCTTACGAATTAAAAAAATAAATTATTCAAAAATGTAAGACATGAATTTTTAAAGTTTATTTTTTTTATTTTTTTTTATTTTTTTTATGGTAGTGAATCTTTCATTCATGAAAATAATTATTTCTAATTTCTTTTACTCTCTCATACATACTAGATTTGAAGAATTCAGAACTTTTACCATAATCCCCTAAATGTTTTCTTATCCCTAACGTGTGCCAGTTATTATATGAAACTGTATAAACTTTATCTTTATCTTTACACCTTTCATCACTTCCAATATATTTATATCTCAGTTTTGATTTAGCATTTTCATATTCATTAGCGTTTAATAATTCGCAGTCTTCCTTTTTAAATTGATGTTTAAGATATTCAGGATTTAATACTCTACGTTTATATGCTCCTAACTTAGTTCTAAAGGTTTTTCTACAAAATTTAGGAATTCCATCCTCTTTAATGTCATCAATGATTTCCATTTCATTATTTTCAATTTCTTCTTCTCGTTTATGAGGTCTTTGATTATGACTCCATTGATTCCATGAAATTAAATATTCTTTATCATTATATTTATACTTCATTAGCTTATTTTGGCTTTCATATTCATTTAATAATTCACAATCTTCATTTTTAAATTGAAGTTTAACCCATTCAGGATTTAAACAATGTTTAATTAATCGCGGAATATCTGACATCATCTATATATAGCTTCTTTTATAAAAGATAAAAAATAAATTATTTTAAAATTAATGTTAATTTTTTTAATGTGTTTATAAATAAATATATTTTAATGCATCGTCTATATATAGATGTAACAAAAAAAGTCACTAAACCCGCACTCATATACTACTACGAAATCAACAAGATTTTAATCATTTAAACAAATGAAATAGAAAATGTATATACAATTTTATTGGAAAAATCAGATTTATATTCACATAGTCGAAGATTTTAATTTCAAAATCGGAATTATAATGAGATCATTAAGTATCTATTAGTGTATCGCAGTTAATGATTAAATTGTAATATATGTTCAATGAAGAAATGTCATAATGATTTAGAAGAAATGAATTCATTAGCAAGACTTTATAATACTTATACTACTCAATTAAAATCAATATATTTTAAAATGTAATTTCTAATCACAATATTCCGGTGATGTTATTATAAACTTTACTAACTGATGTCGGAGGTTCTTTCATGTATCCTTGTAATGAAATGGAATACAATCTTACATGCTGAAACAAATTGATTTTGAATATTTTTCAGACTTAGTTAAGTCTTCTTTGATTATGATTAAGCTTAAATGTCATGAAATATATGAATACATCGAATCACCTATATAGAATTGTAATTTTTATGACAAGATTCATCAATGTATAAGCTTAAACTTATCTCATTCCCTTTATCTTGAGAGTTTCATTTCAAAAAATGCAACTAAATCGTAAATCAATCTGAGAACTTATTTTACTATGCACATATGTCAATTAAATACCATAATTTTTCAGGGATGAAAATACGATTTTTTTTCGATTCCGATGAAAAATTTTGACAGTAATTTTTTAGAAAAAAATGGAAAGGCGGCAAGAAGCATTTCCTGGAAAAATGGCTTATCAACAAGTTATAGATCCTCTTAAGATGGCTATACAACAAGATAATGCAGGAAATTACGCATTTGCACTTGAAAAATATATTGAATGCGAACGCCTTCTTCAAAAAGCATTGAAAGATGGTCTACCTCAAAAGTTAAATGATGAAGTATCCACTAAAATCGGAAATCTTCAAGCACGTATTCGAGAATTGCATCCTTTCTTGAATGCTCCACCTCAACCTCAAGAACCACCGCGCCAGATGCCGAAAAGGACAAAATCAGTATCAAATATGCAACCTCAAAGATTACCTGTCCAGAGACCAGTTCAAACAAGGCCCCAACAGCAAAATTCAAATCAACCAGACACATTACAATCAGCAATCATGAGTCAGCGACCAAACATCAAATTTTCAGATGTTGCTGGTCTCACTGCTGCTAAACAATCCCTTTACGAAGCAGTTATTATGCCAATAAAAGTTCCAGATATGTTTAAAGGTCCAACAGTACCTTGGAAAGGTATTCTTTTATACGGACCACCAGGAACTGGAAAGAGCTTCCTCGCTAAAGCAGTTGCAGGAGAAGCGAATCAATCTACATTTCTTACTGTTTCTACATCCGACTTAACTTCTAAATGGGTCGGTGAAAGTGAAAAGCTTATTAAGTCATTATTCCAAACCGCCAGACAATCAAAGCCTTCTATCGTCTTTATTGATGAAATCGACTCATTAGTTGGCGACAGAGGCGAAGACAACAGTACAGAAGCAGGCAGAAGAATGAAAACAGAGTTCCTCATACAAATGGATGGCGTAGGTGTTGACAATACCGGAATAATTATTATTGCAGCGACAAATCTTCCTTGGGCAATTGATCCTGCTATGCGACGAAGGTTCGAAAAGAGAGTTTATGTACCTTTACCTGATAAAGATGCTAGAATGGCCTTGATTGTCCATAATTTGAAGGAAGCATCTACAGATATCACGAAAAGTGATATTAAAAAGATCGTTGCAGCCACAGAAGGCTTTAGTGGTGCAGACATAACCATTCTCATCAGAGATGCTCTGATGCAACCCATAAGAGAACTCCAAAAAGCAACTCATTTCAAAAAAGTCAAAGCGAAAGACACAAAAGGAGTTGAAAGAGATGGAGTTTGGGTCGCATGCTCACCATCAGCAAGGGGAAGTGTTGCAAAAAGATGGGATGAATTACCTCCTGAAGATCTCGCTCAACCTATTGCGAATATGTCTCATTTCAATGCTTCTTTGAGTAAAGTAAGACCATCTGTGTCAAAGGCAGACTTAAAGAAGTACGAACAATGGACAAAAGAATTCGGTGAAGATGGAAGTTAATTTGCTATTTATTATTTTGTACTTTTGTAATGTTTGATTATAAAATTTACACTTTATTCATTTCTTTCATAAATAATACTGCATTTAACAGTTAATTTTTCAGATTTAAATTGAATTTAAGTGATTGTAACTATATTTTTATGCAAATTGAATGCATGTTTGGTAGTACTGATCTCAACATGACAATTACAATAATATACTATTTCATTGAAAATATTGATTGAAAAAATTTTGATTTTAGAGATTCTGGAACATACAAAGAAAAATTTGGAGATTAGTATAATAAAAATTTCTCGTAGTTCTATGAAAATATTCTAAATTCATACTAAAATCAACAAAAGCTAATTTTGAATGAAAAATAATCGATTCTCTAATTTATCTATTTTATGTAGGATTCAATTTTTTATCGTTTTCTTTTCTTTTGAATATCATAACAACGCATTTATCTAATAAATAATGTATTTGTTATTATTTCAATTTTTGTCAAAATTAAATCTCCATAAAATCTAAAAAAATGTCCTAATTGCATTTTGATTATGCGTTTCAAAATGGGATTTTACGCTATCTGTTTACCATACATGGTTTTACATTCCCACAATACATTTCACTTCAAGAATCGGATCATCGACTGGATTATCAAATCAAAAATGCTTTTGATTTTGATTATTCGATTAATTCATATTGGATTTCAAATACCTCTCAGGGATATTTTTCAATTTGCTTTCCATTTCATTCAATTACGATTGAATCTTTCGAACTCACAACTTCTTCAAAGACTTGCCGCCCAAAACGATTCGCAGTTGAAGTTAGTAATGATGGAAAGAATTATCTAGGATATCAATCGTATGAACATGTAATGACAGAAAAAGAAACTAAGCAATTTTTGTTTAACTTAAATTCTAGTTTTATTAGATGCTTTAAATTCTATAATATCGAGTCTACTTGTAATCCAGATCTTCAACTTGGGGCAGATATAGATCAAGTTGAGTTCTTCGGAAATCTTACTGAAATTAATCAAACAGTATATGCATTTGGCTGCCCAAAAGAAAAATATATAACTTGTAATCCTCGTTGGGGTAGACCACTAGAACTATTTCTTATGTTTGTTGTTTTATAAAAATTATTTTACGATTTCTTGAGTTTTTTATTAGATGGGGCTAATTCGCTACAAAATAAAAGCATATAATATCTCTACTTATGATTTCAAAAGGGGAAAAATATTGAAAAGGGTGTCTTATCAATTTTTGAATATCTCATTCAAGTTTTAATAGAGTGTCTTATATCGAAAAACTTTTATGAAAGTCATTTACTAATGACTGATGCATGCGCCCTTTGCGGATGTTCAAACCCAAGCTGTTTATATCACTGCCCACGCACACAAATGTGCTTTTGCAATGGAAAATCAAACCAAAAACAATCACATGCTTTAATTGCAATTAATTGGCTAAGAGATTCTGGTCTTAATTTAGAATGCACAAAATGCGGATGCAGGAATATATATGCACTAGGATTCTTGAAAGACAGCAATGTTATTATTTGTAGAGACAATTGTTTGCAACCAAATGAAGATTTTGATCCGTTAATAAGGAATAATGAATTAAATCCAAGATTATTTGCGATTCCTCCTGCTGAACAATGCTCTGAAGTTACTGAAGAAAAATTAAAATTAGTTCATGAGGATTTCCTTCGAAAAACAGGAAAAGGAAATTTAACTCAATTGAATGCCAAAGAAATCATTGAATGCAAAACAAAATACCCTTCAGAACTCGATTACAAAGTTACGATGCAGAGATGCATCATGAATGAAAAAGAGTTTTCGCGAATGAAGACAAACAGAGATTGTTTTCCAATGATCAATATTACATGGACATCTACAAAGGAATGCTATTTTACAGGAGTTGGAAAACTTCTAACTGTTTGCACGGCAGGACAATCAATCAAAATCACATACAATGATGAAGATGAGTATTGTGTTGTCAAAGTTGTTAGATACCCGCAGATTTATTTGGAATTTTATGGAAAATCTCGCTTTTACCAAAAAGAATATGTTACAATATCTATTCTTTTTATGGAAATACCTTATTTAAGACAAAACAGAGCAGTTTCGGAGTTTTCAAATATAAATGATATCGAAAAATCTGTTTTCCTTGGAGATTTTCAGAATTTTGAGGAAAGAAATCAAATGAAACCTATACCAATTAACCATGCTATAAAAGCGATTCCATTGAATGATGCCCAAAAATCAGCTGTCCAATATGCTGTAAATCATCATTTTTCATACATCCAAGGACCTCCTGGAACAGGAAAAACAACAGTTATTGCAGCGATTGTTATTGCTCTTTTGAATGAAACTAATGAGAGAATTCTTGTTGTTGGACAATCAAATGTTACAGCAGACAATGCATGCAACATTTTGAGTAAATATGGCGTTAAAGTTGCTAGGAGCAATTCCATTACAAGAGAAATGGCTATTCAAAACTTCTTTAATAGTATTGATCCAATAAATGATGATGATCCTGAATTGAGAGAAATTCTCAAAATTCATTATCTAAAGCAATTAAGATATATGAAGAGAAAAACGGGCACAAATTCGACAAAGATAAGAAAAGCAATCTCGAAGCTGTTTACAAACGTGAATTGAAGATTCTTGCAAATTATAGAGTTGTAACTTCAACAACTTCTAATTCATTTAGAATGAAAGATAAATCCTTTGACACTTTGATTGTTGATGAATGTTCTCAAAGTGTTGACCCTGAAGTAATCATTCCTTTACTGAAAACAAAAACAAGATTAATCTTAGTTGGTGATCAGAAGCAATTACCTCCACTTCTTTTTGCAAAAGAATCTAAGATAGCAAAATATGATAACACAATCATTGATAGATTGGAGAAACTCAATATTGCTCCTCAATTCAGAATGCATCCATCAATTTCTCAATTTCCAAGTGCTGAATTCTATGATTCAAAGGTTGCTGATGGAATTTCACAGGAATACAGAACAAAGTGCCTGAAATGGATTCAATGGCCAAACAATGGACTTCCAATCTTGTTTTGGGAATTCAAAGGAAAACCAGAAGAAAAATCATCAGATGGAAAATCAAACATAAATCGCGATCAAGTTCAATGCGTTGCAAATTTAATTGATATTCTTGTCAACAAAGCAAATCCATCAGACATCGGAGTGATTTCACCTTACTCTGGTCAAAACTTTTATCTTCGTGATAATCTTCACAGATATACAAAGATTGCAGGAGAAGATTATATTAAGAGGATTGAAATAAGCAGTATTGATTCTTTTCAAGGCCGAGAAAAAGAATTAATCATATTCAGCACTGTTAAATCAAACAATACTTATGATATTGGCTTTCTCAATGACGAAAGAAGTTTGAATGTTGCACTAACAAGAGCTAGATGCGGTCTCATTATAATTGGAGATTCAAATACATTCATCAAGAGTAAAAATTGGCTCAGTCTCTTGAGATATTATTCAAGTCATAGATGTCTCTGCTCAGGAACAGTTAACAACTGGATTCCAAAATCATTTTCATACTAATAAATAAATGATATTAAAGTTTGAAACCATCTCTTCATATTTTGATTTTTTTGCTTTTCAAAATTTAAAACTTCTAAGCTATCATGAAAATTAATATCAATGGGGATATTTTTACATCCAATAGAAAATATTCAAAATAATCCTAACCTTAAGAATAAGACCTCAATTCGAAAGAAATAACAATTTGGCGGATGAATCGTGTGACATTTTGCATAGAAACAAGGCGAAGTATTGTCTATACTTATGGTTCCATAGAGAAAGATCTTAGATTGATAATCAGGACAAACAGAAACTTTAATTAAATTTCCAATTGAAAAATCTTTTTGTATTTTAGTACCAAAATATGTAATACTCTTGAGATAATCCATACCAAGAAAAGAATCTGAGTTAATAATTGTATTACCAGATAAAATCAAATTTTCAACCAAAGAAAATTCAGCAATTTTCCTTTTTAACTCATAGACAAAAGGAGGTATCAAAATTGTTTTCATAGTTGTACATGAAAAACAATATCGTAGGATAATTTGACATTTAATGTCAATTACAATTGAAGTTACATTCGAAGATACCATAACTAAAGTAGTTCTATTCTTAGTATATATTTGAGTTTTATTAACTACAAAGTAGTTGGGATTTGAATCGGATATTTTTATTTCGATTAAATTTGGATTGTATCCAAAACAACCATCTCCAAGAAATTCAATGGATGAAGGTATTGTAATAGATGAAAATAAACAAGATGCAAAACCTAAGTTTTTTATCGACTTTAAACTCGACGGTAAGTTTGGAGAAAAACGTATAAAAGTTTTGTCAAATGCAGAAATCTCAATATTTTTAATTATTGCTGGTAAGATTATATTTGTTATAGAAGTAACAGAGAAGAATGCTTGATAATTGATATCTGTAACAGTATATTGTCTTCCAGAATATGTGATTGTATTCGGAATATTGATAATTGATGGGCATGTTGATGAACATGACGCAACTCCTGCAGTATAATCATCGTTATTTATGGTATATTGGAAATCTCCAAAAGGAATCGTCATTTATCTAACATTTTTTATTTAGTCGAAGTATCCAATTACAATTGTCACCTTTTCTTTTGTTCGATCTTATTTTGAGCTAATATTTTGAACAAAAGAAAAGGAAACAACATTATACTCATTAAATAGCATAAAGAACATTTGACTTTATATACAGGCCCAATTTTAGAGTCAATTATAGATATAGATATCTAGATATTTTCTTAAAGTTTCATTAATATGATTTTAATCGTTTATGATATTCACAATAAAAATAAAATTCAAAAAATGATATTTTGAACAAATTTTACAAGAACAAAGAATATTTATTTGTAAATGAAATGTTAATTGGCAATAATCATGAAGTAAGTAAGATAAGTCGTTATAATAATCATTAATCATATCTTTGGTGATTAAGTTTTGGTTATTTCCATTGAAAGAACTATGACTCATAATTGGTGTTTTTGAGCCTGATTTTAAATAAAATATCAATGGACTTTTATTGTCTAAAAACGAACAAAAATCAAAGTTTGCTTCTGAGGCAATTAAAAGAAAACATCTATCAGAACAATTATTTTTGATCATATTACATTGATAAAAATTGAAAGGACCTTTTTGTTCTACGTCAAAACATTCATCAATTTTTGCTTCGTTATTTACGAAAGAGCATTGTGATATATTTGCAATTTGATATGAATATCCCTCAAACGATGCTTGAGATTTACATTTATTATCGGAAATGACCAAATTTTTGGTAAATTATGGAATTCCCTGTATTTATAAGACCACAATTTGTAATAGAAGATTCTTCATGAAAATTTATCACAGTATTGGAACTAATAGTAATATATAAAACAACTCCATCAGTTGTTACAGATTTTTGAATAGCATCATGACAACAAGAACGATAAAAAACAAAATTTCCTTGATTTGATGAAATAGTATTGCTTGTTGTTCTAATATTCGCGAAGTTACAGAATGAAATAAGTGACTTTGCCTCAGAGTTTGTATTCAAATCAATTACTTTTTCTTCAATTTGTTCAAACTTACAAGTAGTTATTAGGTAATTTGCTTGTCTAGTTCTAGATATCGGAATTTTAGATATACATTGCTCAGATATGCTATTTTCTCCATAATATAATTTCCAATAACTCGTTTGATAAATCTTTAGAACTAAATATTAAACAGACTCATTTCATTAACAAAATAATCAATACAACTTGTCTTTGAATGATGCAGCTATCAATCGTTTTTCAAAATCAAAGAAGAAGAAAAAAATTGACAATGCAAGAAATCTTATTTTTATTTTAAAATTAAGTTTGGGCTCCATCAAGATAATGTTCCAGATAGTATTTGGGATTTATTTTATGGAACACACGAAAAAACTTCTACAGTTCAGCAATTTAATCCAGTAGTAGATTTTTATAAAAAGCATTTCTTATATAAGTGTGTTTTTTACAATCAATGGTCACCTATATTTTTTAATTCAGTTAACTTAAAAATTCTTCATTCTGAGTGTACATTCACAAAGTGTTCTTATTTGAAAGGAGGCACTGTTTATATGAAAGGAGATTCGTCTTTTGTTCAACATCGACATTGTGCAGCACTTTGCTCTTCAACTGGCTTTGGTATATACTCATATGTGGATTTATTAAATTCTTCATCAACTAATTTGAATTACAACATTGAAGGTTCTCTTTCTCAAAATGATGGTGAATTTTGTGTCACATATACATCATTTGGAAAAATGATTTTATCATCTATGAATTATAGCTTAAACACTGCTGATGAATGTACAGCAATCGGTATTATAAGTGTAAATAATGGAAATTTTAACTATTCTAATATTGAACGAAATTATGCAACCGAAAATACTATATTTGGTTTAGATAATGGAACATATATTGTTGATCATTGCAATTTGTTGAATAACTCTCAAAAAGACAGTTACGGAGGTATCATTATTTGCCATCTATCTATTTCTGAGTTTGATCATTGTTCATTTCTTGAGAATTATGGGGAATGTGCATTATTTTATAGAGATTCAAGTGATAATGGTACAATAACAATTTCAAACTCATTTTATGATAATTTAACCGCAAATGTTCAAATAACACAAATTAATAATAAGGAAACAAGTGAATCAAATACGTTATCATTTTTTTGGACTTTAATTGTTATAATCTAATAACTATTCAAAAACAAATTAAATGTTATTGTTCACCAGGAAAAACAATTCCATATCCATTTTTACATATGTTTATTTATTCAATACCAACTCTTTATAGAATTAAATAAAAAATTAATATGGATGATCACGAAAATATACAGTCCCATACATTTAAAATATTAACTTTTGTCCTTAGAAAACTGGGATATAAAGCATGGGTGCCAAAAAATTGATAGTGTGTTCCATTTTATTTTTTTTTCATTTATGTTGAAGCTATCAGAGGATTATCATTATATGATAATTCTCATGGTAGCTTCATCATAAACAAAAATCAATTTACTATCCCTCGCTCACCAACTCATATATATTAAAGCAGAGTTCTTCTAATTTCTCCTAATTCGAAGAAGATCTTAGAAGAACTTTGCTCTAATCGATCAACTTACGCATTCATGGCTCGAGCTTAGCCAAGTATGCTGCCACGTTACATTATTACAAGGCTCTTACTTAAGCATTATCATTTTGTAAGAACCCTGTGATAATGTAACGTAATAGTATATATCTACTAACAACAAAGAGCCAGAGAACCACATCTGCATTAATTTGTGCTGAAGTTTTCTGGATTTCCTTCCTCATTTGAGGAAAATCCAGATAACTTCAGTACAAACAAATTACAGACATGTTCTCTCGCTCTTTGTGGGCCAAGCACCACAACTACATTACACTAGGACAGAGTTCTTCCGAGGCCTCTCATCAAATGATAGACTTCGGAAAAACTCTGAAAGCCTTTTGGGAACCAGGAAAGAGTAGTAATAGTGCTTTCAGGCAATGCTCATTACGAAGTCTCTCATCGAATGAGAGATTTCGTAATGAACATTGCCCGTTTCGAGTAAATTTACATCCCTGCCCCTCGGATGTTCAGGGATTAGTACTATAGTCCATGAGGGCAATAACATATAACTAATATCGCCAGAAGCACAATAGTTATACAGCCTAGCTACTATATCCTAGCAGCTAGGCTGCATAGGTATTGTGCTTCTGGCTTGCAGAAACCTCATGGAAGACCGATTGGATATCTCAAGCCGAAATCACTTGCTGATGTGGATGGGGGCAGCATTATGATTGGCCATATCAAAGGCTACGTAGCATCCCAGCAAGTGGATAGTTGGCGGTGACTCCAACACATCCATGAGATTATGGCACTTTTGCATTTTGGCGGGTAAAGTTTTTTTTTGATCTGATATTGTGAACCGTTTACAAGTATCAGATTTTGAAATTTTATCCCTCATTGAAAATAAAATTTTTCTCTCAATTTTAATGATTTAACAATATCAAAAATATATATTATTGAAATGCATAAATTACAATTTCATTAATGTATGCATATATATTTTATTTGAAAGCCCCATTCAAATTTATCTCCAAAAATAAAGAAATTGTTTTTCATGTAATATTAATATTAAATAATAAAGCCAAAGAGAAACTATATTTAATATATATATTAAAATCCAAAAAGCATTGATTTGAAAATCATATTTAAAATCTAACTGATTAATTAGCTTTTACCCAATTTATATTTCATTATTGACTTGTTTCAGATCAATATATTAATATCAGATCAGTTACATTTTAATTTAAGCATTATTGAAGAATTTGAAAATTTGCATTATCTACTTGTAATGCTACAGGCAAAAATGAATCATATATTCATAATATCATACATAATCTCTATATGATACTACAATATAACAGTCTTTTATCCTAAATTCATGAAAATTAATTTCCTATTTCCATAAAAATAAATAATAATTCATTTTTATATTTAAAACATGCACACACATATATAGTATAATATAGGTGTATCATTCATTTCTGTATAAAGCTCATTTTCAAAAAAAATTAATCGTCATCTTCGAAAAAAAAATTTTGGAAAAAAAGTCCAAAATTCAATTAAAAATAATCGTTATTTTGGACTTTTTTTCCACCCAAAAATTATCCTGCTAAACATATCAAAAATGAAGGTTTTTATATATTCGAAACAAAATATTTGTATATTCATGGAAATATAGAAATTAATGGACCTCAAAAAATCTGGAATATTTATAAACTTTTTTATTTTGGAACAGAATTTGTTGACGGAACTTTTGCTCAAACCAAAATAGAAAATGTTTATGTATATAATTATTATAACTATTCTACTTTTGGTGGTATAAATGTTATATTCCTTAATGATGATTATAAAATCATGAAACCAAATACATGCAACAATCAAAATTATATTTATTTCGAATCTATGAATATATTTTATTTCTTGATAGTTTATGATTTTCATTAAGAATCAAAAACATTCAATTCTTTAATTGATTTTTTATAAAAATTTATCATATGTATCAATAATACTTTATGACATATAAATTACAATGAAAGGACTTATTGTATTGATCGAAAATTGTTCAAGTCTGTTTCTACAAGTATTAAGAGCAAGGCATTGTTTAGTAGAAATTGGTGGAAGACCAGAAACAGCTACAAGATTTCGAATAAATTCCTTGCTTTTATTCTCAATTTGGAGACCACATCCAAGGGAAATACAACCTGTAAAAGCATCACTTTCAACCTCTTCAACACAAAGAGGGATATTTATTCGTTGAAGCGATGAACAATCTTCAAATGCATGTGATGATATACGACGAACACTGAAACTTGGAATAAAAACAGATAAAAGATATCGACAACTCTGAAAAGCAGATTGACTAATTGTAGTTGTTGTGTCAGGAAGTGAGAAATAAGTGTGGCTTGAAGCAGGAGGGAAAAAATTATATTTATTTTTATTGTTTGGACTGTTGATGGTATGGATATGAGTTAATGATCATCTTTGTTAAGGTGTTTTTGCAACTTAACATCTTTGTTTTTATTGTTTGGAATGATGCAATGGAAATTTGTGTCAAAGATGACGCAAGAACAATGTATTGATCATTAATAGTTAAATCATGATTTGTCCCAAAAAATAAGTCTAGTAAATGATGGAAGTATTTCCGCCAATTATGGTTGAGTTGGGTGGCAAATTCACTTCAGACAATATAGTGTTTTCGAAGCAATTGGAACCAATTTCAGTGACAGATTCAGGAACAACCTCCAATAATTTCTAATGTGTTAGGCAACGTTATACTTGTTATTGTGGTATCAATCAATGAGTTAGCTTGAAGAGCTTTAATTCCACTTGGAACAACAGCAGGTCATGTTATGTTTATGTATAGTATAGGATAACAAAGTTGTTCCGGTTATCAATGCACTGTTTCGAATTGTAAATAGTTTGTTATTAGAATCAACAATTATTCTACAAATTTCTTATTTTGTACATACTAGGAATGATTTGAGTGAGACAAATTTGTTTGTAATTTAGATATTATCAAAAATCGCAATATTTGGAATTTAATTGAACAAGAAAAAGGTCAAGTTAATGTCTCGTATCCAAACAAATATACGGTGATATTATATTTTCCGTGTAATAGTTATTCTGATTGTTCTGGATATAAAACCACATTAAAGCCAGGAAAATACAAGTTTGAAGTTTGGGGTGCCGAAGGTGGGAAAATATTGGTTAGAAGTAGTTCAAATCAACCACCTCAGCCAGCTGGAAAGGGTGGATACTCGAAAGGAGTATTATCTATTAATGAAAAGACAGATATATTTGTTTATATTGGCGGATCACCAACACCTAGAACAGATAACAATTTCAGAATTGTTTATGGAGGATTTAATGGAGGAGGCGGAAATTATGCAAAAGGAACAAATTGTAATGGTGGCGGTGGTGCAACAGATATCCGTATCATCACAGATGATTTATTCTCTCGAATTATTGTCGCTGGATCTGGCGGCAGCGCTGGTTTTAAGTCAAACTCAAAAGATAACGTTTTCTATTATGGAGGTTCTGGTGGTGGATTGGAAGGAGAAACATCTGGAAGAAATTATTATGTCGAAAAAGCTCAAAATGGCGGTAAACAAGATGGTCCAGGAGATACCGGCTATGGAAAAGGATCATTTGGATATTGAGGCAATCATTCTGCAAGTTCCGGTGGTGGAGGTGCAGGTTGGTTTGGTGGATCTGCAAGCTGCAATGCTGGAGCAAATTGCGGCGGTGCGGGTGGTTCTGGCTATGTTTTTACAGAGGAATCATTCAAACCAAATGGTTTTCTTTTGACATCAAAACATTTCCTCAAAGATGCCATTACTATTGGAGGCAAAGATTCATTTCCAACTCCAGAGAACCCATTGATTAATGAGACTGGTCATTCTGGCCATGGTGCTGTAAAAATTACTTTTCTAGATATTTATACAGAAGATATATATTTTTTAAATACAGTAATTAGCAAACTGCATAGAAGACGTTAAATTTTATTTTACGTTTAGCTTTTGACGAACAAAATAGAACTCCCAAATTTCACTCCGAGGCAATCGTCAATTATATCATTTTTCTTCACTTCGAGGCAATTTAGCCCTTCGAACATGAAAAACTTATATTAAAAATATAACTTTAGTTATTTTAATTGCTCATAACATGAAGTCCGGAATAGCTGTTTTTAATCAATCAATGCAAATAATCGGCTTGTGAATCATTTTCATTAACTTATTTTGTAATGATGACTCATAAAGCTAAATAATTTTGATTTAAAAAATATGAGCTAAAACATAAAACATTATTCATTCTAGATAATTATGCTACTCAAAACATTTATCATCACTTTTTTTTGCTATTCGACAAGTAAGGATTATTTTAAAAAGGTTTGAAAAATATCACTTTACTACTCGGGAGACCTGATAAACAATAGGAAAAATTGATAGGATCAGTTCATTATGAAAAATAAAAAGTGACATAAAATGATAAACTTTGTTTTATGCGAAAATCTTTTGACAGATTCAAATTCTATATTTAAGAATGCATATCCCAATCATTTAATTGAAGTTTCAGCTAGTGGATCATCATCACAATACATCAACGGGAGTAAACAACTCACAAAACCGGAATACGCCTTTGATCAAATTGATAAGAGGTATGATTGGTGTTCAAACTGTGGTCGTAATCAAGAAGAACATCCATGGGCTATTTATTCTATCAAAAACAAAAACATCAAAATCAGTGGTTATTATCTGAAATCTGGATGCTGTTATTCCAAAGAAGGTTGTTGTTGTCTTGACGATTTTTATTGTTGTGAATGTTGTATGTATAGTTGGTCATTACAAATCTCTAATGACAACAAAACGTGGAAAACAGTTCATAAAGTTGAGAAAGATTTAGAGATGCGACGGTGCAAAGAGAAAACATATAAATTCAGTGAAACATACCATACTAAATATGTTCGTCTTATCCAAGATGAATCATGTCCTGGTGATTATCCATGTATTGCACTTAACAAGATCGAACTTTTAGGTCAAATCGAAACTGACGATGGCATTATAATTGATGATCACGAAAACGAAGACGACGATTTCAGTATTATTGGACATATTTCAAAGAATCGAATAAACTAAAACTATATTTTAAATATCATATATATATAAAGCTTTACAATTTCGTAGACTTGACTTTATTTAGAATCTTGATTAAAATCAAATGCTCAATCACTTTTTATAAGCTACAGCACTTTTTTAAAAAAATTAATATTATAAGCTACAGCACTTTGAAAAAATCTAGATTAAGGTTAACCTAAACAAAAAGTGAAAAATAAAAATTTTAATTCAATTTTTTCACTAATGGTTTTTAGGAAACTTGACCTATAAAGTTCAATTTACCTATTTTGAAGACTTTAGTGTTGTTGCACAAGGAGCAATTGTTTCTTTTTTGGCACCAAACATTATTGGAGAAGTTGTATCTTGTATTTTTAATCAGATTACTAACTCTTTTAATTGTTCTGGAACAAGTGTTAAAACAGCATATGTTTGCGGATCTGGTACGATTTTTATTGATAGTATCAAAAAATTTGATATAAAAAGAAATGTTTTTCGAGTAAATTATGGAAAATCAATGGGACAACTATATTATTTGACTGGAAGTTATGGATCATCCTCAACTTCAGACATGAATTCAGATTCTTATTGTGGAAGCAAAAGTTATTATTCTTGTTTGAGTGTAATTGATCGACCATTATCTATTTTTTCGAATTCGAATTCAACAAATCATCAAATGAATGGTTATCAAGATATTGGAATTATTCATATTGGTGCAATGCCTCGAAAATCAACAGTGTTTAATTTACAAATTATTGGAAATTCATCTGAAGTTTCAAACACTGCAATTGGACTTTCTAATGAAGTAGTAAATTCTAATGATGGCATTTTTCTGAATAAAATTATTATTAAAGATTTTAATAATGATAGAGGAATAATCACATTATGGGATAACTGTAAAATTCACTTTGAAAATTCTTATTTCATTAATTGCACAGGAAAATTCTATTTATCCAATAGTAAATCATATATACTCGATGCTAAAGATGTTTACTTTACAGAAATATATCCGGATATTCAAGATCTTTCTACAGAGTACTTACATTTTTCATATCAAGCACAAAGTGACTTTGTAGGAAACTTATCACTATTACTCGGGAAACCCATTTCATGTAAAAATAACTATTATTTGAATAACTTTAATTTCTTTACCTTTTGTTATGTATTTAAATTTATTCAAAAAATCTATAATTGTAAAAAGTGATACTATAGGAGATTAATTTCTTGATTTTTATGTAAAAGTGACATACATTATGAAGATTTGAAACTCAATATTAGCATTGATTTATAAAATTCAACTTACATATTTTGAAGACTTTAATGTGTCATCAATTGGTGCAATTGTTTCTTTAAATACACAAGATCTAATAGGAAAAATTGATTCTTGCGTTTTTTATCGGATTTATAACTCCTTTAGTGGCACAAACTCAAGTGTTAGAAATCAAGCATCATGTGGATCTGGAGTAATATTTGCTGATAGAATCAAGACATTTGATATTTTGAAAAGTATTTTTCGGACAGTCAGAGGGAAATCTCTTGGGCAATTGTATTATATTGCTGGAGATTTCAATTGTAATGCATTTTCGAATATGAATTCAGATTCTCAATGTGGCCTTACCAGTGATTACAGTAATCTATACGTAATTGATAGATTATTATCTGTTATCACAAATTCTAATTCATCAAAGCAACAAGAAAAAGGTTATATTGGAATTTATCATATTGGCTGTAGACCTCAACGATCAAAAGTTTTGAATTTAAAGATACCCTTACATTGCGTAGTTAGAAAGAGAATATGATATTGTCATGATTGCTAAAGTTTTAGGCTCCAGAAATGAATATACATCAAACTGAAACAATTGATAAATTGAATGAACTTTTGAGAGGTTCTCAAATAAAAAAAATTATCTAATTTTTTACAATATTACTATTATTTTATCCACATATGTATATATAGTAATTTGAGAAAACTTTTAGGAAAAAATAAGTTTAATAAAAATCTGAATTTTACTTGTTGTGGGATTGTTATTAATTGACACTCCAGACGTATTACTAATAGTTATGCGTATGCAATTAAAGTATTTCTGATGGACAAAATGTGAGATTTATATCAGATAATTCATTTCTACTATTAAGTTATTCATTTATGAGTTTGCACTTATTCGCACTAAATAAATAACTATTAAAAATTGTTTAATTAATTGACACCATATAATAGAGTGAATTTTGTTTGATCAAACAACAATAGATGATAGATATAAAGCCAAGAAACTTGCTATTAATATGCTCTACTTGCTATTTCAATGTAAGTATGATATTTTCTAAATGTTTCGTTCAGATAACTTAGATATATTAGTCAAAATTTGAAATTTTAATAGCACATATATTAAAAATAATTATTATTCATAAAAGATTAATGAAATAGTAAAAAAAATCAATCAAATTATAAAAATACAACATTTAGAAGAATTCTTATTATCCTTCAAAAAGTCAGTATTTCTGCTGTAATTTTCTACAACATTGTAGTTATTGCACTTTGTCTATGATTTGTATATATTGTATATATGTTATATATAAATTATATATCTAAACTGCCCATAAGTGCAATTTTTATAAATTGTTTATTTCTTTAACAATTTCATATGAAATATGCTTTTTTAAGCGTATCAAAGCTGTGTTCTTAATGTGCATGGATATATCAAGAAAAATGTCGAAAAAAAAAGTGAATTCACAAATTCACTGAATTTTCACCGTTTTTTGAATTTTGCTACAGCACTAATATTAAATAATACTAAAATCTTCTGTCTTTGTAAAAGAATAAATTCTGACAAAAAGTGCTCGTTTAAATTTAATGATCATCTGTATGACTAAGTGGTAAAAAGTGTTTATGACCAAAAAAGGGTTAATGCTTAGTCTATTTTTCTGACAGAGATACTTAGATTTACATGATCTCTATTTCATATCTCCGTTTTTAGATTCTTCGACAGATTTTATGATAGAAAACCAAGATTAACAAATTTCCGGCATGTTAATGAAGAAATCTGCAGCTACCCTCAATATTATTTCAATAATCAGTATCGTTTCTCTTACAATTTATTTTTTTCTCAATAATTTAACAAGAAATAACAATACACACTTGGTTTTACGTATAAAAGCTAAGTGTCGAACTTAATCAACTTTACTTACTTAGCAAATGAATATTTTTGTGGTTGCGAGTTCTGAATGCTGAAGTTTTAGATTTCTCTATAAATGATATCATTGCACTTACAATGTTGTTCCAGCCTATCGCATAAATCATAGAAAATCCAAAAAAAAATAATATAAAGAAATTCATGTCATGAAGTTCAAAAAAATACCGTGTAACATTAAAATTTGTTATGCATAATACATTTTAGCTATTATTGATTTTTTTAATTTTCGAGAAATTGAATGGTGAGTCCGATAGAGAAATTTTTAAAAATCCTAGTCCCTCATAGAAGTAATTTCCCACGTCTCCCATACTTCCAAATGTATGCATATGACATAAACTTTTATGCATTACACAAGTGGCCAATAATATCTATAGAGTAAAAAATTAGAAATTTAATTTTTTTATATGATAGTTATATTTCAGATTTGCGAGCGTAACTTTTTTCTCCATGGCATACTTGTTTTAAGAGCAAATGATCAAAATCGTCCTTCAATTATTGAAGGAGCTGATATCTTTTGAAAAATTGAATTGAAAGGGTATTCAATTTTCAAATTTCCTCTCAATTTTGGAAACATATCAACTCTATGAATTAACAATTATGTGCCTTCACAGTTTATCAGTCATATAAGGTGCTTATAAAGAAAAAGTTACGCTCGCAAAATATGTTTTTATATAGATTTCACATAAAATAATTATGTAATTTCTAAAAAGAATATTTTTGTTCTTGAATATTAAAGTGTATTGTAGTTTAAAAAGTTTTAAATATGTTGCTAAAATTTCAGGTTTATAGCTCATGTCTAGCATGACTTCTTCGTATGCGCAAAAAATCTGACACGTAAGGGTATCCTTAATCGGAAATTCTTCAGAAATCGAAAATACGGCTTTTGGTATATCAAATTATGTAGTAACCTCAGATGATATTGTTATCATGAAAAACGTAATTATTAAAGATTTTAATAATATATATGGAATTTTTTTCAATTTGGGCACCTGCAATAACTCATTTTGAAAATTCATATATTGTTAATTGCACTGGTAAGTTTTATAGATCTTTAGGTCCTCCAGTTTCTATTTCTTTTGAATTGAAGGATATTTATTTTTCGGAAATTTATCCAGACTTGCAAGATCTTTCTAAAGAAAACTTGCATTTTTCATATATAATGCAAAGAGATTATGACGGGAATTTTTCGTTGTTGCTAAACAAATTTATGACGTGTAGAAATAATTGCGTTTTATTCAATATTAATGTTAAAATGTTTTTTTATGTGATATATATATATATAAATAATTTATATTTCACCATATGGCATATGAGTCTGGGTGTCAAATAGAGCAAATGATCATACGCTTTAAAGATATATGATATTAAGAATTTAAAGATTAAATTAGTAGATCTACAATTAAATGAGTTTCGCTCAAAAAATTGTTTTCTACCAGGTAGCCTTTGATATAACAACAAAGACTCATTAAACAGGCTAACTATTTTCTGGTCTAACTTCAAAATTTATGATTTCTGAATTTAATTTAAGCATCATACAAGAAATTTAAGCATAAAGAGAAGCTACTAGGTTAATAAAATCTTAAATCAATCATTATTTTCATTAATTCATAATACATATAATTTTAATTTTTGAAACAAATATAAACATACAAATAAATAAATAAAAAATAAAAAAAAATTTAAATGTCCTCAGAACTAGTGATGTTATCATTACTTGAAATAACATTGACATCAAATACTATATTTGGATCATCTCCATTGTCTTCTGAATCTGAATCAGAATCCAGAAAATATCTTTTCCATTCTTGAGCAGTTTTACGAACAGGTGACTGATCTTCATCATTGTTTGCATCTGAATTGATTGTTACTGTACCAATATTAGAATGTATACTATTTCTTGAAGGAGATGATTTTGATATTTTCGTTTGATTTGATGTTTTATTAATTTCAACGTGTTCTTTGCTTACATTGGAATCTCCTGAACTTTCAATATCTAAGTTTTCACTACTAGGATTATTAAATCTTGATTCCCAAGCTGTATTTCTTTCTTCAAAATCTGAAAATTCTTCTGAATCTTGTTTAATTTCAGGTAAATTCGATGAAGGAATTATAACTTTTTGAAGTTTTTGATCAAATTGCAAATCTTCTTCTTCATTTTCTTCATTATCTGTTTCTTCTTCATAAAAATCATGCTCTGATTGACCATAATTATTATTATCTAAATGATTTTGTTCATTTTTCATTTCTTCTTCATTGCTTTTTTCATAATTATTTTCGTAAACTTGGTCTTCTTCTTCATTGGATTTTTCAGAATTATTTTCATTAATTTGCTCTTCTTCTTCATAGTAAGAATTTGATTCTTCGATGTTTGAAAGAGAAACTGGTTGATTTTGATCATATTGTATGTATAAATTGGAATCCGGTTCTGCATCAATGTCTACGTATTCCACTTTATTTTCTGATGGTAAATTATGTGATGAATCAATATCTTTAGTTATAATATTACTCTTACCACCAATTGTTTCTACAATGATCCTAAATTTTTCAACTAATTCTTGTAATTTTTCAATTTCATCACTCAAAGCATTAGAAGTTGTATAAGATATCGGATAACTTATTCTAAGCTTGATTTTAGAATGTTTTTCTGACTGAAAAACTTCGGATGAGCTTTCTTCTAAGTCATCTAGTAAAATTTGGTTGATTTTTTGCCTCTTGAGAATAGCTTCTTGAAAGTTTTCTGTAGAGGAAACATCAGGTATCTGTGGAAGATTGTAATCAATGCTAGATTCTGTAGTTGAAGGAAAATTATTTTGATAAATTAAAGAATCAGAGTCTGTTTCATTATCTAATTCGATACTTTCAATAGAATCCATGGACTTTTGTGCCATTTCGATGTTTTTTCTTGCTTTCTGACGAGATTGGGAAGCTTTTATTAAATTTGGTGAAATATTTTTAATTTCAGCATTATAATTTGACTCTACAGACTTTGGAGTATCGAATCTCTTTTGAATTTTCTTTGAATTTTGCTTTTTATTTGATATTGAAGAAATATTTTGGGAAGTAATACTTTGTTCTGTATTATTTAGTTCAGATTTACCTTTTGATGTAGAAGTATAGTTGGAATTATAACCCCATTTCGGTCTTTCTGCCAAAAACGAATCTTTCTTTTTCTTTTCTTTGGCATCTAAGTATTTTACTAGTTTTCGGAATGTGTCTTTATTTTTAACTAAACGTTTTACTGGTTTGGTTCTAATATTTCCTTGATTTTGCGTAGATGTAATTCTGTTATATTGATCAAAATCATATCTAATCGGATCAGTTTCTTCATTGATCGGGTTGTATCTTTGGCTTATTGTTTTTCTGTTGCTTGATGCTCGTGTTGTTGAAAAATTTCTGCTCATTTAAGAAAGAAATACAAAATGTACGTTTATTTATTCTTCATCTCTAAATTTCAATATTCAGTTTATAGGTTAAAATTATTTCCTGTGATTTGGCTTTTTTAGTGAAAGTAAATGAAATCAAGAATATTTAGAGAAATGGAATAACTTGGATGAATTTCTTGGAAATTGCACCCAATCGATACACAATAAATAAATGCAAGTATGAATACATTATATCGGTTTATGGTGGAGCTGTATATCTTAGAGATAATCTATCAATTCTATCTATTCAAGAAACTTTGTTCAATAAATGCATAACGCAATCAGTTTTTTATTTTACTGATATGAATTTTGGATGTCCGGCTTATTTTCATGAAGGGAATATGATATTTTTAACAAAAGTTTTAATTTCTAATTGCATTTCTAAGTGTAGAGGAATTGCAGCTTCGTTTGTTAACCATACTTATGCGAATCTTCAACAGATAAATGATTCATCAACAATTTCTAACATTTTATTAAGCTCTGAATGTCAAATTTGTCTCTGCAAAGGCAACACATTAATCTCAAATAACAATAACTCATTATGTGAAAGTAACTTTCCAGGAATAAATTCAATATATGGATCTGTTGATTTACATGATAAATGATTCATCAACAATTTCTAACATTTTATTAAGCTCTGAATGTCAAATTTGTCTCTGCAAAGGCAACACATTAATCTCAAATAACAATAACTCATTATGTTGATTTCATTGCATCATGCCTGCTGAATTTCTTCCATTTTGTCCATATCCTAATTTATATCCACTGTCTTGACTTGCACCTTTTGAAATTGTATTTCCTCTTGAATCACCTGCTTGAAGTCCTCCACCATATCCTCCTGGACAAGGAAAATCAGTTGTAGTCCCACCACCACCTCCTCCTGACACCAAAATTCTAGAGCTGATATTGTCATTCAGAATCAGAAAAAGTGACGTGGCTCCTCCACCACTTGATCCAGAAGGAAGTTTGTTAATATAGTCAACAGCTGCTATACCCCCATTACCTCCACCGCCACATTGACTTTTGATTGGTTCTTTCGAGATTTTAAAATCTAACCCTCTTCCACCAACAATTAAATAAAATTTTGTTGGATGTTTCAGTATAATCATTCCAGCAGTGTATCCTCCTCGCCCACCCAAATTTTGGCCACCTCCTTGGGCTCCCCAAGATTCAAAAAGATATAATCCTCTGGGAAGTGGAATTTCATAGGGAATACAGTCTTCTCTGAAATTAAATTCTAATTTCTTTAAAGGAATATTTGTTTTCCGACTCATTGGAATATATTGATTTGTATATCATTTTTTCTTGCATAAAATTAACGAATTTATAGAGTTTCAAACAATATTTAACGGTGGCTATGAAACATATGCAATGATGCAATGAAATTAATGATTCCCTTATATATGAATAGTTGAGATAGTTTTTTCAAAAACATATCAAAGACACTTTATGCTCTTAAATATATAGTTAGATGCATTTTAAGGATGCAATTACCAATTAACCAGATCAATATTTTAATATTAAAATAAAATAACAGTATTGGGTACTACATTGATAATAACTTTATAGACATAAAATATTAACTTTTCACCTTAGAAATTGGGATATGTAATAAACAGAAATTCATCAAAAGTGACAGCTCTCAATTTTTTGACATTTGTAAAATCTAAATTGAATGAGAAAAAATGAAATAATACTAAGCATAATACAATATTCTAGATTTAATTATAATTAGGAAAAAGTTAGTTTTGAGAGTACTTTTCATAGGCATATAGAATGAAAAAATCCATGATAATTTATTTGTTATTATTATAGCTCATTTAGCTAATATAATCATAATTTCACAATGTTTATAGTTAGCCGACCATGACAAATTCTCATTTGAAAAAATTTTTTATCTCTTCATTTTCTTGATGTCTCACATGCACGTCTTGATCTTAGTTGCTCACCCAGACCCAACACACAAGGCAACATCATTCCGTTTCGCTGATTCAGCCAAAGCTGCCCTTGAAGGTGCTGGTCACGAAGTTCGTTACGTCAACTTAATGGAAGCTGGCTTCAATCAAACAGCTTCTCAGGATGACTTCAAGACAGTCAACAAGGAACCATTCACATACCCAGGAAACCAAATGGTTCCAGACAATCTTGTTGATACAATCAAGGTTCAACAAGAAAACCTCAAGTGGTCTACACACGTTCTTGTTTTCGCACCACTTTGGTTCGGCCGTCTCCCAGCCTGCTTCTATGCTTACACAGAGCGTGTTCTTTCTGTTGGATTCGCTTGGGACTTCCAGCACACATTTGACAAGGCTTTCCTTGCTGGCCGTAAGGTTTCCATCATCGTTTCCGCTGGTTCACCACCAATGTACTTCGATCCAAAGAATGGAAACGGTCTCGACGCTTTCCTTTGGTCTGCTATGTACGGTTTCAACTATGCTGGTTTCACAATTCTCCGTTCTCTTGGTATCTTCGGCGCTAATTCTCCAAAGAGAATTGCTCAACAACCAGAACTCCAGCAGAAGTTCAATGAGAAGTTCCTCCAGCTTGACCAGTGGAAGACAATCGGCACAGAAAAGCTCTACTCCAAGATTGCAGAACTCGAGGAAGTCAATTCAGAAAACATCCTCTTGTAAAATGTGTATTCAATCAAATTAGATAAAGATTCGAATATAGATTAATGAAATTAACATATTCTTTTTATGATAACCTCCATATGTATCAAATATTAAATTTCTGTAAATTAATATTATCAAAATTATTATTTGGACTTGGTTTCCATTCTTATTTACTGAACAGAAAGCGAAACACTAAAAATTTCGTTGATTTGATCTGATTTGTTTTTATGGATAAAATGGAATTTAAAAAATATTTTAAAATTACTTTCACTATCAATTATAATTTATTTCATCATAAGAATTCATTCAAATCTTGTGGAAAACCGTCAAATAATTCGATATTTTTCAAAATATGTATAACTTCACATTATTCCAAATCAATTTTATATGATAATTTGAAACCGTAGTTTTGAATGTAGTACTTTGAAACGATAGACCTTTCAATACAAGGCATGATTTTTTTTTTAGTGTGCTACCCTCCAAAATTCAGTTTTGTGCGGTGAAACCTGTTATTGAGGAAAACTGTTGAATCTGGTCGTACCGTTTCGAGCCGTGTTTAAGCCATGCAAGAGTCAGACTTGGATGATATAAGTTATTAGTTGATCTGAATCTTCAATATCTAAGTTGATGTATTATTCTAGTTTTGAGCATACACATAGATTTTAGTGAGTATTTGCATATATGTCTTATCATTTATTAGTGGTTTACCGCATGATTTGCATTAAAATAGAATTGATTTGAGGAATAATTGCAAATAAGCGAGTAATTATGTTATCACATTGGATAACCTATCTTACTATTATATTTTGGACGAATTTTAAGTGTCACAGAAATTGAAAGCAATAATATTTGCGGGAAGATTTGAATGGATATTTCGGTTAGCGGGAAAATTTGAAAGTAAAAGAGGCGCCAAAAAGGTGCCATTTTTCATTTGGTTTTCTCTCTCGAGCAGCCAAGTAATCCGTATTACGGATGTGCTAGTAAGTCAAAGCAGATCTTTACATCAGTTGTGCGATGTTAAGATTCTCATTTGATTGAAAACAAAAGCTGTAATCGCTTTACTTTTGTTGTCTCGTAATAGCTCAAAGCTGATGAATACACCAGTTGTGCGGCGTTATTTATCGAATTTGAGTTCATAGTATTCAATGAAAGTTTTGGATAATGATTTTTAAAATTATTGACTTTCCTTTAACACGTCATTTAGGATCACCCATATAACTTCAATAACATTAAATCTAATTTCTTATCTCATAATACTTTCTTAATTTGATTCATCTTTTGACAAAATATAATATTAAGATAGGTTATCCAATGTGATAACATAATTACTCGCTTATTTGCAATTATTCCTCAAATCAATTCTATTTTAATGCAAATCATGCGGTAAACCACTAATAAATGATAAGACATATATGCAAATACTCACTAAAATCTATGTGTATGCTCAAAACTAGAATAATACATCAACTTAGATATTGAAGATTCAGATCAACTAATAACTTATATCATCCAAGTCTGACTCTTGCATGGCTTAAACACGGCTCGAAACGGTACGACCAGATTCAACAGTTTTCCTCAATAACAGGTTTCACCGCACAAAACTGAATTTTGGAGGGTAGCACACTAAAAAAAAAATCATGCCTTGTATTGAAAGGTCTATCGTTTCAAAGTACTACATTCAAAACTACGGTTTCAAATTATCATATAAAATTGATTTGGAATAATGTGAAGTTATACATATTTTGAAAAATATCGAATTATTTGACGGTTTTCCACAAGATTTGAATGAATTCTTATGATGAAATAAATTATAATTGATAGTGAAAGTAATTTTAAAATATTTTTTAAATTCCATTTTATCCATAAAAACAAATCAGATCAAATCAACGAAATTTTTAGTGTTTCGCTTTCTGTTCAGTAAATAAGAATGGAAACCAAGTCCAAATAATAATTTTGATAATATTAATTTACAGAAATTTAATATTTGATACATATGGAGGTTATCATAAAAAGAATATGTTAATTTCATTAATCTATATTCGAATCTTTATCTAATTTGATTGAATACACATTTTACAAGAGGATGTTTTCTGAATTGACTTCCTCGAGTTCTGCAATCTTGGAGTAGAGCTTTTCTGTGCCGATTGTCTTCCACTGGTCAAGCTGGAGGAACTTCTCATTGAACTTCTGCTGGAGTTCTGGTTGTTGAGCAATTCTCTTTGGAGAATTAGCGCCGAAGATACCAAGAGAACGGAGAATTGTGAAACCAGCATAGTTGAAACCGTACATAGCAGACCAAAGGAAAGCGTCGAGACCGTTTCCATTCTTTGGATCGAAGTACATTGGTGGTGAACCAGCGGAAACGATGATGGAAACCTTACGGCCAGCAAGGAAAGCCTTGTCAAATGTGTGCTGGAAGTCCCAAGCGAATCCAACAGAAAGAACACGCTCTGTGTAAGCATAGAAGCAGGCTGGGAGACGGCCGAACCAAAGTGGTGCGAAAACAAGAACGTGTGTAGACCACTTGAGGTTTTCTTGTTGAACCTTGATTGTATCAACAAGATTGTCTGGAACCATTTGGTTTCCTGGGTATGTGAATGGTTCCTTGTTGACTGTCTTGAAGTCATCCTGAGAAGCTGTTTGATTGAAGCCAGCTTCCATTAAGTTGACGTAACGAACTTCGTGACCAGCACCTTCAAGGGCAGCTTTGGCTGAATCAGCGAAACGGAATGATGTTGCCTTGTGTGTTGGGTCTGGGTGAGCAACTAAGATCAAGACGTGCATGTGAGACATCAAGAAAATGAAGAGATAAAAAATTTTTTCAAATGAGAATTTGTCATGGTCGGCTAACTATAAACATTGTGAAATTATGATTATATTAGCTAAATGAGCTATAATAATAACAAATAAATTATCATGGATTTTTTCATTCTATATGCCTATGAAAAGTACTCTCAAAACTAACTTTTTCCTAATTATAATTAAATCTAGAATATTGTATTATGCTTAGTATTATTTCATTTTTCTCATTCAATTTAGATTTTACAAATGTCAAAAAATTGAGAGCTGTCACTTTTGATGAATTTCTGTTTATTACATATCCCAATTTCTAAGGTGAAAAGTTAATATTTTATGTCTATAAAGTTATTATCAATGTAGTACCCAATACTGTTATTTTATTTTAATATTAAAATATTGATCTGGTTAATTGGTAATTGCATCCTTAAAATGCATCTAACTATATATTTAAGAGCATAAAGTGTCTTTGATATGTTTTTGAAAAAACTATCTCAACTATTCATATATAAGGGAATCATTAATTTCATTGCATCATTGCATATGTTTCATAGCCACCGTTAAATATTGTTTGAAACTCTATAAATTCGTTAATTTTATGCAAGAAAAAATGATATACAAATCAATATATTCCAATGAGTCGGAAAACAAATATTCCTTTAAAGAAATTAGAATTTAATTTCAGAGAAGACTGTATTCCCTATGAAATTCCACTTCCCAGAGGATTATATCTTTTTGAATCTTGGGGAGCCCAAGGAGGTGGCCAAAATTTGGGTGGGCGAGGAGGATACACTGCTGGAATGATTATACTGAAACATCCAACAAAATTTTATTTAATTGTTGGTGGAAGAGGGTTAGATTTTAAAATCTCGAAAGAACCAATCAAAAGTCAATGTGGCGGTGGAGGTAATGGGGGTATAGCAGCTGTTGACTATATTAACAAACTTCCTTCTGGATCAAGTGGTGGAGGAGCCACGTCACTTTTTCTGATTCTGAATGACAATATCAGCTCTAGAATTTTGGTGTCAGGAGGAGGTGGTGGTGGGACTACAACTGATTTTCCTTGTCCAGGAGGATATGGTGGAGGACTTCAAGCAGGTGATTCAAGAGGAAATACAATTTCAAAAGGTGCAAGTCAAGACAGTGGATATAAATTAGGATATGGACAAAATGGAAGAAATTCAGCAGGCATGCAACCATTTGGTGCAGAAGGAGGTTGTGGTGCTGGCGGCGGCTATTATGGAGGATTTGCTTCACAAAAAGTTGGAGAATATAGTAATTCAGGCGGTGGCGGCGGTAGCTCATATATTTCTGGTCATCCAGGCTGTGTTTTACATCCTTCGGGATTATACTTTAATAACACGATTATACAAATATATATCAACCCATGCACCACTACCGATGCAGGCTCAACCGCGCATCTTTCGTTTTTTTTTGCATGTTTTTCGTCTCAAAGCATGGTCAATAGACCGTCTCAAAGACGAAAAACATGCAAAATTTTTATACACTCTCATAATAACATATGACAGATAGGGAAGAGAAAACACCATATAATGCTGCATAAATACTATATATTGAAAAAGATATTAAATATATTTTATTAAAATCATAATAAATATGTGTTTACTTAATGTGATAGATGTACCTAGTATAATTATTATTGAATGTACTAAGATATATTTAAATAAAGATATTTTTTGTATATTATATAAGATTGGAATTAGTATTTATGAAGAAATTGCAACAACGCGTTGTGATATGTGTGGATATATGATTTTGAGAGAGAATAATTTTGGATTTTTCATATTTTAATATGGATGTGATTTGATCATATTGATAGTGTTGTATTATAGAGTGTAATTGGGATGGAATTCTTTTTTATTTGTAATAGATTTTGATAGAGGCAACTTTCATATCGAATGTTGCCTCTGTCGAGATGTATGTGACAGGCAAAGTGCAATCACCTATCAATATTGCACTTTGCCTGTCAAAACTTCCTCGCATCTCTTGAGGTGTGAGGAAGTTTCTCGACAGAGGAAACTTTCATATCGAATGTTGCCTCTGTCGAGATGTATGTGACAGGCAAAGTGCTAACGTCTTGTTATTGCAAAAAGATTGTGCCATTGTGGGAGACATGCATAGGCAATGTCTCCACGGATGGCACATTGTTACCGACAAGAGTGCATAATACACTCTCGTCGGTCAAAAGTTCCCCAATCAACTTCTGATTGAGCAAAATTGTATCATTATCTGAGGCATGCACTAGCAATGTCTCCCAGAATGAGATATTAAGACTGACATCAATAAAGCTTTTTATATAGTTGAAACTAGATTCATTCTTCATAGCGTTCAAATTTTTATTAGAAATAATGTAGTTAATGCTAAAATTGTAGTATTTACGTAGTGATAATCATATTCATACTGTAATTCATGTGATTATAATGCAAACCCACTAAGTAATTCTTTTGCTAAATTGAAATTGAAAATTTGATTATGCCATTTTGAGCTCGATGTATTAAATGTAAAACATTTTTCATATGAGAATGCAAAATCCAAAGACTTTTCTATTTGTTAAGTTGCTTGAATCGTGAATTTGGAATTTTTATCAAAATATGGGCAAATAAGCTCGGCGTTGTCACACATTCACTCCCCCTGAAGTTGTGCTTTAATCAGAAGTCATGCTATTTTTCCAAATTTTTTCAAAATAGAGAAAATGATGAAAAATCTCTCATTTATTACATTCAAAATTTTAAATTTGAATTTTTTTTGGAAAATTTGTGATTCAAATTTCAATTTCTCCAAGTAAAACTGAAAATATTAACAGATCAAAACTAGAATAATACATCAACTTAGATATTGAAGATTCAGATCAACTAATAACTTATATCATCCAAGTCTGACTCTTGCATGGCTTAAACACGGCTCGAAACGGTACGACCAGATTCAACAGTTTTCCTCAATAACAGGTTTCACCGCACAAAACTGAATTTTGGAGGGTAGCACACTAAAAAAAAATTATTCCTTTCAAGTTATTTAGAAAATGTTACTGATTTCTCTTATATGTGCTGAAGTTATCGAAATGAAATTGATAACAGGCAGAAAGAGATCTAAAGTATGCTCTAGATATAACTCAGATTTCTATGCAAAGTGGGGTCAAAAGAACTTTGATTATTTCCCTTTTGGTTATCCTCCGAAAGATCAATGTTCCATCCCAAAATACAACAAAACTGAAGATGACAAAAAAGGTATTAAAACTTATAACTTCGTTCGCTGGATTACCGGGCTTAATGATAATATTTTTATCAATGATACGTTCCATGATACGCAATGCGCTTGCGCATTATACTGCTATTACAATGGTCTTAATCACCATCCATCTGAATCTAAGAACTGCTACTCCACAAACGCTTCAATTGGATGCGGTACTTCAAACTTAGCAGGTGGATATGCATCTTCAGCAGCTGCGATATTAGGATATTATTACGATTATGGTGATACAAATCCTGGCCATAGATTATGGCTTCTCAGTAGATCAATGAAGCAAACATCTTTCTGTGGCGTTGGTGGTGCCAGTGCACTTAAAACATTCGGAATGGCAACATTAGATAAACCGCATGAAATTGATTTTGTAGCTTCTCCTCCTCCAGGTCCAGTTCCACCAGAACTTATTCCTGCAGATAACGGTGTAATGTGGACATTCTGGGGTAGAAACATGTCAACTACACTCCCTAAGGTTACAGTTAAACAAAACGGAACTGCCGTTCCAATTGTTACAGCACCTTACTTTGGTGAGTGGGGTGAAAGATTTGTCGGATTCCGTCCAAATATTACAGCCAAAATTAACACGAAATTCGATGTAGAAATTGCTTTTGAACAATTTATCTACAAATATTCAATTTATATTACTAATTGCAGTGTTGATATGTCTGATTATGAGTACGATCAGATGATGGGTCGTAAATCATATGGTATCACGTGGCAACAAATTGTTACTTATTGCATCCTCGCAATAACAATTGTTGTTTTGATTTTGGGCATTGTCTGCGCCTGCATCAAGGGTCAGATCATCTGTGTTGCTTCATCAGTACAATACAAGACGGAATCGAACTCATCAACGCGTTCTACAACTAAAACTACAATTATTGAAACTAAATACGAAGTTCCTCCTGAGCCAAAGCCACAAATCTACAGTGTTACTACAAAGACAACTATAAAAACTACAACAAAGACCACAGCTCCCTCTAATAAACCAAATTCAGTGAAAGCTCTCGCAAATAAATTCAACAACAAATAATTTTCAATTACTATGTTTATGAACCATCAGTTTTGCGACAATTTCACCTTGTTATCCATTTATTTCTTTAAAATTTTATTTTTTATCTTATTAGTTTTTCAATTTTGCTCAACAGCATAAAATTAGACATTGCTTGTTTAGAATTTGAATGAGCGAACTAAAACAAAGATAAATTTGAACTAATTAATTTCATTATTCGTAAAAGAATGATGTTGTCTTAGATATAAGCTCCAAATTCTTTGTATTTATAATAAGTTTAGCGTTTACTGTTTTCCATTTTGCTAAAATGAGCTAATTACACGAAAATTTGGTAATTAGTTTAAAATGAGTTTTAATAAATAAAGCAGCACTGGGTTGACTTATCATTATAGTAACTCTTAATGATGTTCGCTATCAAAGTACTAATATATGCAGATTTCTTTGATAATCTGGATTTCATCTAATTTGTTAGACATTGAAATAAAATTTTATTCTAATAATAAGAGAATGGTAAAACAATATAAAGATTTGGTAATAAAATACACGTTATTTTGAATACACGATTGAATTATCTCGAATTTGAGTGTTTTAATTCCATAATCAGTTGTTATGGAGTAAGTACTAATGATATGATTATTGAAAGGCTGACAATAAGTTAGGGTTTTGTCTGAATATGAATTTTTAACGATTGGATTGTTGCCAAACTTATAGACTTCGTTTTCAAAGAATACACAATTATCTATTGTCATTGTTGATGTTTCCATGGTTACTTCAAGAAATTCTGATGCAATATTTTTATATACAATTGTATTTGCAATGTTTTGTAGAGCATTCTCCATACAATGGTGCAAAATTACTCCTGATGTTTTAGTATTATTGAAATAAAAGCATAAATTTTCGTAAACTTAAAATGCTCTATAAATAGCAACGGGACCTGGATAATTTCCTTGATTATTTGAAATGTTATTGTTCTCAAAATTGCAATTTCCGAGACAACAGCAAATATGGCAAGTAACACTAATATTATCTAAATTATTTTCGTAAAAAGATGAATCTATTACACTTTGTGTATTTGCTAATGTCTGTTGAACAAAAGATGCAGCAATTCCTCTGAATGTAGAGTAACATCTGCAAATTATCATTTTATCAAGTAAAATCTTACTGCCGATGTGAAAGAAAGCAGGGCATGCAAAGTTTTGATCTCCGTAAAATCTTGAATAAAATGTAAGTATATCTGAAAATGATGTTTTCCTAATATTAAGAATAGAATTCTGCTGAATAATATATACTGCGCCTCCTGAATTAACCTGTGTTTTTGAATACTGGCATCTCTAAATCTCAAAAGTTCCTGAACTAGTTTCAGTAAATCCCAGCGAGGAATAACACTAAATTTCAATACATTTTTTGAAAATGATGATCTACATGATTTGTGATTAAAGAAATCATTTATATTATCCTATATAATGGCATAAGAATGCATATTTGCCAATTCAGAATTAGATTACTCATGTTTTATTTAGTTGGTTAAGTACAGACATAAACTTTTATTCATATGGGAAGAGGAAAGTAAAGTAAAATAAAGATTTAGTTATTAAATACAAATTATTTTGTATGCAAGATTGAATAACATCGAATTTGAGTGTTTTAATTCCATAATCAGTTGTTATAGAGTAAGTGCTAATGATCTGATTATTGATTGGCTGACAATCTGTTAAAATTTTGTCTGAATATGAATTTTTAACAATTGGGTTAGTTTCAAACTTATAAACAGTGTTTTCAAAGAAAACGCAGTTATTCAATGTCATTGTTGAAGTGCCCCATGTTTGTTCTAAAGATTTTTCTGGAGAATTCTTAAAAACTACTGTGTTTGCAACATTTTGCAGAGCATTATCCATACAATGATGAAAAATTACTGCATGCGTTTTAGTATTATTGAAATAATAGCAAAAACTTTCAGAAACTCCGAAAGCTAAGTAAATGGCAACAGGGCCTGGATAATTTCCTTGATTATGTGAAACATTATTGTTCTCAAAATTACAATTTCCCATACAACAACAAATATGGCAAATAGCAGTTGAATTATCCAGATTGTTTTGGTAAAATGATGAATAAAATGCATTTTGTGAATTCAATGAAGTTTGTGGCACAAAAGAAGCAGCAATCCCTCTGAATTTTGAATAGCATCCGCATATTATCATTTTATTCATTAAAATTTTACTGCCTTCATGGAAAAAAGCAGGGCAACTAAAGTTTTGATCAATATAATGCATTGAATATAATGTGATAATATCTGAAAATGATGTTTTTGTAATATTCAGAAAGGAATCCCTTTGCTTTATGTAAACAGCATCCCCGGAATTAATTTGTGTCTTCGCATAGTTGCATCTATAGATTTCATAAGTTCCAGTGGTTGTTTCAATAAATCCCAATGAGGTCTAAGATAATATTTCCTTTCATTTAGAAAACGTTAACTGAAATTATGAAATTATGACAATAATCATTACTCAATATTGAAAGAATAGCATTAGGTATTTGAAATAGCTATACAATTTTGTGAGCAAAAAGTCGATCTCAACTGTTTTATATCAATTTAGAAAGACCTGTCAGGAAGCATAAACATAATTGGGAACCAGCAGCTCAATGAATGGCAATATTTCACTTACTTTCATCATATCATTGAATTATTTTTTTTAAATAATCTAAAAATTGTTCATAGAGTTCCAAATACGCATTAAGTGGTGCATAATGTAAATTTATGGAAAGAAATGAGTAAGAAAATAAATAGATAATTTACATCAAAATAAGCTCCTTTTCTTTTGTAAAGTCTCTTATTCAAATTTTTGATAGAGGTTCATTAAATATTGAGACAGAAAAACGATAGGGAGACTTTACGTAGGAAAATGGGTTTAAAAACATAAAGAAAGCTAAAATTAAAAGAATATTTGCAAAGGCATCTAGATATTTTGTATTCAACATAATAATATTTAATGCCAATCAATTGCATTAATGGTAGTTCATTAATTAAAGTGCAATTGATTGTTTCTGCCTGACTTATTTCAGCGTCAAAAAAGCAATTAGTAAAAAGGATTGGTTGTGGAATTCCAATAAAATAACTATTTTCAAAAGATGTTGCCGGACGAACAACTAAATATCCTGAATTATTGTTATTAAGCAAATAATAGTACTTAGAAGTTCCGGATTGCCATGATAATATGCTTAAAGTTGACGTTGTAGTATTTTCATTGATACAAAAAATTGCTGAGGCATTAAAAGTTTCATATCCAGCATGAGTACTTCCATATTAATACTTTGCAGTATTCATTGTAGTATTGTAATTCGAAAAAATAGAATTTCCGTAAGAATGCATATAAAAAATTGTATCAGTAATACAATTAAACATTGAAGTATCATTTGTCTGCATTTTATAGTCGCCTGTTTTTGGCGCAAATGACGCATCTAGTGCTCTACTCTTTCCTTGGCAAGATTCAAAATACAAACCAGAACAAAGAAAGGAAATTCCTTCATGATAGAATGCAGGGCATCCATAATTTGAGTCAATTTTATATTTAACACTTTGCGATACTAATTTTATGAATGAACTAAATTCAATCCTGAGACTGTTGTTTTCTTTGACAAGATATATAGCCCCACCGACACCAGAATTGAGATTATAGAAATATATTCGATTGAAAACGAATGAATTCTCGCTACTTATTTCAAAATTCTTCTTTTAGATTTTTATAAAATCCTTACATAAGGTTAATTCAAAGAAAATATATTGAGAAACAAATCATAAATTAATTCCCGTTGTAATTTTATGAAAAGTGAAAAGATAATGTGAAAAACATTTTCAAACAAAGTCATTAGTATGATGAGTTTATTACTTATCAAAAAATGATAGTGAAGCCACCATAATTTTTGAAAAATTATAATAGTTCAGAAATAATAATTAGTTTTAATAATAATTAGTTTTAATAAAGAGCTATATTTATGAGAATTTACAATACTCACTCAACGGACCTAGCCTTACAGCTAGCGTTTTAGGTTGTAATGGCCAGTGCAAGCCTGAATTAATATTCCCAAATTCAATCTTCTATGAATCAAAGGAATACATTGTTACAGAAATTGCTCCAAAAGCTTTTTATAACAAAAGAAATAATTTTACAAATATAGTTTTCCCTTCGAATTTACTTTATATCAGAAGTCAGGCTTTCGATATTACATATTTCCAATCTCCTCCATTACTTCCTTCTAAGCTTAAAGTTATAGATACTCTTGGCTTTGCTTCTTGTAGATTTACTACGATTGCAATTCCAGAATCAATTGAATTCATAGGTGAAGGTGCTTTTTCATATAATCAGAATTTAAAAAGCATTTTTCTTTCAGAAAACAATCAGTTCTATTCTATAATTAACCAAACACAATTATATTCCAAAAACAAAACTCATTTAATATCCGTTTTACAAGTTGACTCTACAATATCCATATGATAGCATTATATTATAATTCCTTCTATTTTCATATGGTTTAATAATCTTCTTCATTATTTCTTTCCAACTAACAGAACTCAATCCTAAATCTTCTCTTTTATCAAATTTATAATATGTATCAACATACAACATGAAAAGACGAGGAATAAACTTACCAAAGTCTGGAGAAGGATATCCTGGTTTAATAATCTCTGAAATATTATCTTCTGTCATTGACATTTGGAATAAAATCAAATCACCACTAATGTGTCTATTTGAAAACAATTTCGGAGAAGATGAAGAAAGGATTCATAAAATTTCAAATTTATTGATAAAAAATGGCGCTGAAGTGAATCACAAAGATAATAAATTAAATACAGTCCTTCATTTGGCAATCAAAAACTTTAATAATGAAGATTTACTAATCAAATTTGTAGAACTTTTAATTCAGCATAACTTCGATATCAATTCATTTAATGAATCATGGAACTCGTGTTATGCAATAGCATTCAATAAACATATGAAAAAATTGAAAGATTTTCTACTTGCCCACGGAGCAATGAAAACAAATCATCATGATGAGTAAATTTTTGATTCTTATTATAATCAGTAAAATTTACCAATTATAAAAATTGAAATAGATACTAAATTACAATTACAAGCATTACATTATGCAGCAAAATATTTTTCAGTTAGAAAACTAAAATCAGAGATATGATTCAAATGCTATTCTGGTTTAGAAGCAAAAATAGCAATAATTAAAAAGTATGGATTGAAAAGTACATAAAAATTCTTGATGTTAAAGGTTCTATGAAAAAATGACAAGCCGACTCAAACCAAATCTGCCAAATAAAAAATACTTATTAATTTGCTAAGAATAAATATTATGGATATAAATATTTCATGCTGATTTTCCTTATATGGCTAACCAAAAGTCTTGAAACAATTTATTTTAATGAACGATCAAATCAAGGATATTTAAATGCAGGACCTCATGAGTTTCATCTTTATGGTGGAGCTGAAGGTGATTCATATCTTAATGGGACCCATCAAATCAATAAAGGTGGTCGAGGGACATATATTAAATTATATCTTAATGTGAAATATCATGATATACCGTATGAAGTCATAGTTGGAGAAAACGGAATTTCTCATTTAATTGGTCCTAGCCAATCTGGTTTTCCGAATGGAGGTCTTGCTGGAAAATCATTGGAAGAGAAAAACGTTGTTGGTTCAGGAGCAGGATCAACCGTTCTGAAAATCAATAATCAAGTTGTAGCTGTTGCTGCTGGTGGTGGAGGTGCTGTGATGAATTATAGTGGCTCACCAGGTGGTGGTATAAATTATAATTATGTTTTTGTCAATAACAGCTTGCAGAAAAATGAAAATCGATTATTTTTTTCATCAAGTGAATTCGGAGGCAATGGCACATCGAGTGAATGTATTCCAGGTTCTGGTGCAGGTGGTGGATATCTTGGTGGCATTGGAGGCATTGGCACATGTAAATTTCCATACACATCTGCATTATCAACTAGTGGAAGTTCGTTTATAAATACAAATCTGAATGCTATACGATATTCCTATAAAATCGTCATGGACGAATTACACTCATATGCAAATGAAATGAATAAGATGATATATTCAAATTGTGGATATATGTGTGATCGTTGTAATGGAATTCGTCAATGTGATTTATGTGCATCAGGGTATATTTATTCACCAAATTTTAGTGATTGCTGTTCTGTATCAATAATAGATATTGTAAAACTTCCACTAAATCACAGAAATTTGAATGACTATTATACGCCAAATTTTAATTGTTCCAAGAAATGTCGGATAAATTCTTATAGAAATAATGATTCATGCAGATCTTGTAACGAGCACTGTGATTTTTGCGATGATAGCGGACATTGCCTTCAATGTTCTGAACCATATTATAGAAAAGATTATCAATGTGTTTCACAATGTGGTGTTGGATACTATTCAGAATATATCGATGATAATGGTGATTACCCAATAAAAATATGTGAGAGATGTCCGCAATATTGTAAAACTTGTGAGTGTGCAAATTCATGTAAAGTATGTTCAGAAGGATACAAATTGAAAGAAGATTACTGTGTTGAAGATTGTGGAGACGGATTCTATGAATCAGAAGGTGTTTGTCATCGATGTCGCGAAGGATGTTTGAGATGTTCAGATTCACAAAACTGTCTTGAATGCAACTCACCAAACAAACTTATTATTGGAAACAATTTTCGAATTTGCAAAAATTCGAAGTCAAAACGTAAGAATAATCACTCTTTATTAACATTATTATATATTATTACTCATAGTAAAAATTTTTGATAAAAAATGATTTCTCGAAATTTATAGTATGAATGGACAAATATCAATGTTTCTATATTAATAGAATACTGCTAAAGCAATTCTATTTTAAATGAATTCATAGATTTTAGTCGCATAATTGTCACTTTTCTTTCTTATCTATTGTTTAATTTATACTGTATCTAACTAAGTGACGTGGAAGGATGATACCACAGGCATGGTATATAGTAATAATAATAGAACCCTCGATTCTGTTCCATCTGGTACAGTTCATGTTTCAATCTGGAATCGAATCGAAATTTTATCTGGAAAATCAGGAAATCTCTATGCATTTAAAGAGTGTTCGACATCATTAAAATCTATTTCATTTGAGAATAATCCTCAACTTAAAGAAATTCAAAGTTATGCTTTTTATCAATGCACATCAATATCTGAAATTGATCTTTCAGTATGCACAAATTTAATTATCATTGGTAGTTATTCATTTTCTGGTTGCACTTCATTGAATTCAATATTTTTGCCTAGTAATCTTATAAAACTGGGCGATTATTGTTTTTCGAATATCAATGCAACTTCAATTTCACTTTCTGAAAGCATTACTTCTATGCCTCCTTCATGCTTCCGAGGTTCTAAATATTTAATTTCAGTTGAGATTCCTCTTTCAAGTAATATTACATCATTAAGTAGTCATTTTATTGCAGAGACTCCAGTTACTAAATATACAATTACAGATAAAGTTAATTATATTTCTAATAGTGCTTTTTCTTATTCAAACATTGTTACTTTTGTTGTAACTTCAGGAAATGAAAAATATAAAGTAAGAAATAATGCAATAATAATAAGCACAGCATATCTTGTTTATCCAAAGAAACTGCCAGGTCCAGCTACAGTTCCAGATGGTATAACTATTCTTGAAGCTAATTGCTTTATGGACAGCTTTGTAACAAGTATAACTCTCCCGGCATCATTGCGAGTGATTGCGCAATGGGCATTTGTAAGATCCAAAATTGAATCAACTGTAATCCCAGACACTGTCACATCAATTGGATGTAATGCATTTTACATGTGCAGTAACTTGAAGATAATAAAGCTTCCTAATATATCGACTTTAGAAACTGAACTTTTCAAAGGTTGCACATCATTAACAGAAATAGAAATTCCATCATCAATAACTACAATAAAAGATGGTTGTTTTGATGAAACTAATCTATCTGAAGTTGTTTTACCAGATTCTGTAGAGTCAATTGGTGGAAATGCATTTCCTTCTAAAACAAAGTTGATATTTGGTAAGAATTCAAATTATTACATTGACAGCCAATACTTAGTTCTTGACAAACAGAATAAGTCTATTTCTATGTGGTTTGAAGCCAATTTAACTACTATTACTATTCCATCTACGGTTGAAACAATCCAAACAAGAGCGTTCAATAATAAACAAAAATTAACTAAGATTGTTATTAACTCAGACAGTGCATTAAACAAAATTGAGAAATACGCATTTTATAACTGTACTAATCTTGTCTTTGCAAATTTACCACAAGGAATCGCGAGTATTGGCGAATATTCATTCTATGGCTGCCAAAAATTAACAAACATTGATCTTCCATACTTGATTAACATTTCTATGCATGCATTCGAGAATTGCATCAATCTTGTTTCGATTGAATTTGAAACATGTTCTGTAACCACTCTGGACGAGAAGACATTTTATCAATGCCAGTCACTTACATCTATCAAGTTACCACATACATTGACATACATTGATGTTGAGTGTTTCAAGAATTGTAATTCATTGACATCAGTATCTTTCCCATCAACACTTGTCAGCATCATAGACTCATCATTCGAAAATTGTAACATCAATCGCCTTATTTTATCAGGATGTAACTCAATGACAAAAATATATGATTTCTCATTCTCATCAAACACAGGTTTGACAGAAGTCTCATTCCCGACAAATATCGAATCGATTGGTGTCCACTCATTCTCAGGCACATCAATTCGATCTATCACTCTCCCATCATCAGTCAAGAGCATCTATAACTACGCATTCTCAGAATGTTCTAATCTCCAATCTATTTTCATTCCTAGCGACTCACTTCTTAGTGAGATCGGTATTGGTGTTTTCAAATCATGTTTCTCTATCTCAACAATCGAATGCTCATGTCCTCGCTACTCAGTTTTCAGTGGTGCTCTCTTTGACTCACAGCGTACTAATCTCATCTTATTCCCTCCTGCCTCAAATTATATTTACTTTTCTCTCCCAGACACAACTAAGACCATCAGTTCATCAGCATTCCAAAGCTGCATCTATCTTGTCTCTGTTTTCATTCCTAGCTTCAGTGTTACACGAATCTCATCTAATGCATTTGAGGGATGCATCTCTCTGAAAAGCATCAACATCCCTCTTTGTGTTACATATGTTGGTATTGATGCGTTTCTTGGCTGCACATCACTTGAATGTGGTCTTAACATCGAAAGCAAGAACAAAACATTTGTGAAAGAACTATTGAAAGACTCACAGATTCCATCGATTTCAATTTCATCATGCAGCAATCTTTTATCATTTAACTGCAAATGCAAATGCATTTCCATCAATAATTTAACTCCTTTCATTATTTTCAATTTGATATAACGTATCATCATATTTTATAAAAATATTATTTTCAATATTAAAAGTCAACATTTCATACATGATACAACATGCATTTCTTATTTATTTTAGGACTTTTATTTCCAGACTATACTTGTAATTATAAAGGATTATATTTCACAAACTTTGTATGTATATTGATATAATTCAGAAACACGGTCTCAAAATTTTTGAATGTTCAAAACATAAAATTGAATAACCGCTAGGTTTCATTCAATTAAAAGTGGTACCAAACAATGCGGTAATCTAGATATTGCGAAATATTTTTGATAACTTGTAAAAAAGTGTAAACTTCTGTATATCCAATAATATCTTATTTGGATACTATATATAGTAAAAACATTGTTGCTACTCAAAAAATCGTGATTTCAATTTTTCTCGAAATCTAGAATTGAAATGTATATTAATTTTATTAAATATATGTATTATATGCTAATGGACTTTTTGCAAAGTTAACAGTTATTCATGATTATATATTCCCACAAAGTTCTTTCAATTAGATTGAAAGCGAGGGGAAAAAATTGAGAAAAAAATCTCCTTTGGTATAGAAAAAACCCTTATAATATTAAAAAACATATCAAAAGCTAAAATCAATAATACAGATAAGCCATATTAATATTCTTTTTCTCGTTATCTCAAAGTCTTAAAACAGAGTATTTTAGTGTTGGCTCAAATCAAGGAAATTTAAACCCAGGTCCTCATGAATTCCATCTTTATGGTGGAACTGGAGGCGATTCATATCTTAATGGTACCAAGCAAAATAATAAAGGTGGTAGAGGTACATATATTAAATTATATATTAACATACAATATCAGGTTCCATATGAGATTATAGTTGGCGGAAATGGAGTTTCTCATTTAGATGGTCAATCTGGTTTTCCGAATGGAGGTCTTGCTGGAAAATCATTGGAAGAGAAAAACGTTGTTGGTTCAGGAGCAGGATCAACCGTTCTGAAGATCAATAATCAAGTTGTAGCTGTTGCTGCTGGTGGTGGAGGTGCTGTGATGAACTATAGTGGCTCACCAGGTGGTGGTATAAATTATAATTATGTTTTTGTCAATAACAGCTGGCAGAAAAATGAAAATCGATTATTTTTTTCATCAAGTGAATTCGGAGGCAATGGCACATCGAGTAAGTGTATTCCAGGTTCCGGTGCTGGAGGAGGATATCTTGGTGGCATTGGAGGCAATGGGACATGTGAATTTCCATATACATCTGCATTATCTACTAGTGGAAGTTCGTTAATAAATACTAATGGATATGAATACTCCTATAAAATCATTATGGACGGATTACACTCATTAAATAATGAAAGAAGCAAGATGTTATATTCTAATTGTGGACCTAATTGTAGATATTGTAAAATTAATCTTGCTTGTGATTATTGTGATTCAGGACATGAAATAATTGTGAATTTTCCTTATTGCTGTAAAAGTAGAATCCCAAGCCTTCCTGGTTTTAAGAGGTATCTGCATGAATTTGATGCTGGAGAACGTGCCTGTAGTTTACATTGTCCATTTAAGACTTATACAAATAATGATACTTGCTCATCTTGCATTGAAAATTGCGATATTTGTGATAATGTCTGGCTATTCCGGACACTAAAAAACAATCTATCTTACCCTGATAAATTTCGCATAAATGTACGTGAGGATTTTTATTGCTGTAATTGCACTGATATGGTGGGATTATTTTCAGAAAATCCTTTGGTTGGGTATTGCCTAAGTACTCCGATTTCTCAGACTTTTAATCTTGATTTTTCGTTGCCAATTCCAATTAAGGCCCATAAATATGTCCTGCAGAGCTTGTATAATGTACCGAATACAGATTGTTATTGGACTTATCCTGTTTCATGGAAAATATATTATGGAGATGACTTTGATAACTTAAAACTTTTGGATTCTGTGACCGATAATCAAATTCTATCAAAACGATGATTTAGTTTTGAATTCGATGTCAGGCCATTTAGGGCATCAGTAATTAGATTTCAGATGGTTAAGGCAAACTATAATACTCATTATTTATTTGGTCTTTCCCAATTCGATATTTATGGAGAAATAGAATCCAATAAAAAACTTTTTCTTAGTATCAGATGCATAAATATTATGACCTTAAAAAATCTGGCATCATCTTCGTATATCTTTCTGATTGATTAATTTAAAAAATTATAAAAAACAATGCTATTCGTCATCCTTTTAATTTTGAGTTGATACTGTAGATATCTATTCTGTTTCTTATTGTAAAACATCATCTTTCATATATGAAAATTTCTAATAATTATTTTCTGTAGGGATTTAGCTCCTTATTCATTGTAGGATTGATTAATTGATATCAGTGAATATTTTATGATAGCATTTGTATTCATTTTGAAATAACGAACTTCAATAGATTTGCAATGTTAAAAAAAATCAAATAGGGAGAAGTTTTTGAAATTTCTTCATTGCACCTTGTTTCTGTACCAAATGAAATCTTATCCAATACGGCAATTGCTTTAAATTAAAAAAAAAACATTTGCATCAGTAATCAAACCAAACCAATTAAACCAATTAATCATGGCAATTAATTCTCTGAAAGACGATGGAATTTTATAATAAAGATTTTGGGATTTTCAAATATCTTTACAAAAACTATCCAAATGAGTACTTTGATTTATTTTCGTTTGAAGTTTGCAGTAATTTCTTTCCAACTGTCCCAAAAGATGGGATTGATATTTGAAATCAAACTAAGTTATTGGAATCATCATTTTATCAGGATCCTTGGTATATAATAAGAATTAAGAATTTTAAAATATTTGCAAATAGTTTTACATTATCCACTCATTATATAGGAGAATTGGATTATCCCAAACATATTATAGTTGAAGGTTCATTCCTGCAAGGTCCATGGGTGACTTTACAGAATAAAAGTATTGGAGATGATATGAATGGGCATGATAGAAAGGTTTACTATTCATTATCAGAAGGCCTCTATGATTCTTTTCGATTAACCATGATTGGGCTTGACACTCGAGGAGAAAACCTTTTTGTTATCAAAAATCTGGATTTTTATGGAAAATTGATTCCAAAATTTGCAATACTTAAAATCAACACATGTATACCAAGTTATTTTCAGAGTTTCTTCAATTTTATATCATTCTTATCTCCATTTGTCTTGCTTTGCTAAAATAAATAAATCTGGAAATCAATAAAGGAGTTTTCATTAATTGCTTATTGAAATATTAATATTTTCGTGTTGAGTGTATTCTATTTATTAGAAGTATAAAGATATCATATAAAAAATTTCAGCAAAAATCAATTTGGTAATTAGAAATTAAGAATAATGATATTATATCTTTAATAACAACTGAATTCAAGTAACAAAAATCCGAAATTCCATTTTAACCTTATGGATCGGAAGAAATCTCAGAAGTGATTCCACCATGACCCCCATTCACGTTGTTAGAATTCATACTAGAAGTGCAGTGTCCAATGGTAATGTTACCCCTTATATTACTTTAAAAATCTATCACTTTTTGGTCTCAATTGTATTCGAAATGAAAATGAAATATGATGTTATCTAGTATTTTTTATAATATATCAATGACTATCAAAAATTATAAATAAGTGCTTATTAAATATATCGCAATATAAGAATTCATAAATAAATTTTGAATATCAAGGAGAAATATTTGATTCCAAGAAAGAGGACAAGGAAAGAAAGATATATTTATCAAGTGTATATCGAATTTCAACGGTAATAAGCTTTGCAAACATGAATTTAGGCCAATAAATTTGATAATATTGATATTATAAAATCAATGAAATTCGAGAAGCTTTGTGTTATATATAGTTGAGAATTTTCCTATTTGATATAAAATCAAATAGGACTGATAATTATTGGAAAAAATGATTTAAATTGCACTTGTAATGGGGATCTGTAGCTGAAATTTTGAATCAAGTTGAGTAAGTATTGACTGTAGCATTGTAAGACATCGGATAATCATATATTTTTAAAAAATCTAGATTAAATTAAGGTGAAATCTCTAATTATTGTCATTTTTGTTTGGATATTATCAAAGTTCTGGCAGAATTAGAGGTATGCCTTTGGAAAATTACGGGATATTTCAAATACTGGTGCGCTCAGAGGATGAAAAAATTGTTTCATTAAAATTGAGAAGGAAATTTAACGTACAGTAATATAATTGATACTTACATTATGCTCATTATATGTGTTAAATTTCAAATTACCCTTGTCAGACGATAACGATTATTTTTCAATATAATAATCGTTCTTGAAAAAAGGTAACCCCAATGGATTGTATTTAAATCGTATGTACATTCTATTTCATCAAAAAAATTTACCCTTTTCTCTCATATTTTTGGTAGAAACACTTCTGAAATCTCAATGAATATGAATAAAAAGGCCAATCAATGATTACTATAATTGCATAACATTGTATATTTAAACAATCATATTTATTCCTAATATAATAATATCAAAACCGCTCGATTTAACTTTTTTTACTTTCCTTTGATTTTCATTACTGTTTGCCATGTGCAAGATACAATAACAGCAATGGCATAAACCATTGAAATAACGGCTTGGACCGTTCTGTACCATTTTCTTCCTGGAGTAACTCTTAAGAAGAATAGAGCAGGGAGAATCAGAGCGACCACTGGAATAAATAGGCCTCCAACAATATTAAAGAAGATTATAATATTGCTTGAGGTTGCAGCCAAACCTGCAGAAATTAACATTAAGATAAATCCTGTCAAAACCCATCTTAATGTTGTCATCTCCTTATCTTTGAAGATGATTGCATCAATTGAGTTTCTAGCTGCCCAAATGAAGAGGGGTGAGGAAATAATTAAAATGAAAACTACACAAACTGTAGCAACGATCGTAAATCGGTTGGACGCTGGGTATAACTCAAGAGCTGATGATGCTTGGAGAACATCAAACTTGTCTAAGTATGTACATACACCAAGAATTGCATATAATATGAAGCAAGTAACAAGAACTGTTCCGTTCAAGGTATATGCGCGCTTAATTGTGCAGTTTTTAAGATGTTCGAGTGTTGGGAACAAGTTAATAATGTAATTGTAAGCTAATGTAATGATACCGAGGGAAGGAATGAAAATGTATGTGTCCCATTTCATCCATACAAACTGTTTGTTTGGATCAAAGCCATATGCCTTGAGATCTTTGATAAACCAGTAAACGGAATGACAGATTAAGAGGAAGATCAAGATAAAACCGACTGAAGCAACAACTTCGAGCTTTGCAATTGACTTTGGTATAGTTAATGGGAATGAAAGGCAGAGTGAACAAACAAAATTCCAAAAGATATTGGAATTAAGTACTTTATACTTGAGACCAAGTGTTCTGTTAACAAGGATTCCACACCAGTTGGAATAAATCATAACTGAACCAATTTGGAGTAAGAAAATAATAAGATGAAGAATCCATAGGTATTTTGGACTGAAAACATGTGCGAATAAGCCCTTAAAGTCATATTTATGTGTTACATATGCTGCTTCAATCATCATTGTCAATGTGCTGAAGATTAGAATACCAATAATAAAACTCATCAATAGCCCTGAGAAAATACCAAGTTTGTAGGTATAAGGGATCATTAGGCAACCAGAGCCAATGGCTGTATTAATTAAAAGAACGAACACACCGAATAAGTTCTGATCTTGAGGTGTTTCGAAATCAAATACCCTAAAGTTTTTGTTATTGGAATCTGACACGCCCGTAAATTTTTATAAAAGCTCATTAATACAGCTCCCTGATTGGAGACATTCTTTGTGACATATACCATATACTTATGTAGGCACTAGAGAATCTACCATATGATTTTAGTAGTCTACTAATGACATTCATAGTGCAATTAGACGAAATTTATTTTGCTTGTAAAACCACACTACATGAAGATCCAAACCCATTATTATAACATTATATTACTGGTACATAGTAGTATATATTGCTGAGGTTGAAATCTAAATCTAAAAAGTTATCAAGATATCAAACTAATGTAATTGGCCTAGTCTATTCAATTACAGATATATTAATATATATGATCCGGTGAATTGATTTATACATAATGACATGATATATAAAAAAATTATAATATTTTAAAATTAGAGTTAAAATTTCACATATCTACATGCAAATGGCTAGAAATGTTATGCATATATCAATCTCGGTTGTGATTTTACTATATAGGAAAATATGTCGGAGTAATGATTCAAACTTTCAAAGTAATGCTTTATTTGAACAATATGAATTGAAATTCATTTTGATAAGTCAGGCTATGAATGATAATGATATAATAACAGTTTAAAAAAAGATAATATTATAAATTTTGAAAAGATTGATATTTTTTATTTAATTTGGAATATTCTTAATTCCAATTGATGTAGAATGTGGTATCATGTCAATTTTTGAAATTCGGCTAATTTTGGAAAGACATTTTGAATTGGGTATCAATTGTTAAAATTAAGCTTGGTTATTAATGTAAGTCAAATGCAAAATAAGGGAGAAGACAATATTTGTAATTAAATGTAACAAATTCACAATTTGAAGAATATCAATATAATTTGAAAAAATTGTTAATTTCATAGGCAACAAGATATCTATTGACACTGCATATAATTGTGAATATATTGTTCATTTCAAAATTGATAGAGATTTAAAAACTACATGCGTAAAATGAAAACTGATGATAAATGATATAAACTAATATGATTTTATAACATTGAGTGTTTTGATAAACTAAATAGATGTAGAATTCAATAATTATTGAAAATATTAAGATTTTTAAAGATAAATACAAATCATATGGTAAATTTGTGCTAAAGGGATTTGTGAATAAGGTATATTGTTTATGTACTAATTATATGTATGACCAGGCAAGAAAATAAAGAGATTGTATAATGAGAATGTGATTGCAAAAGTTTGACCGACAAGAGTGTAATATGCACTCCTGTCGGTCACAATGTGTCATTTCGGGAGACATTGCCACTGCATGTCTCCCAGATTGGCACACTGTTCCGCATTCATAACTTGAATGCGGAACTTTGACCGACAAGAGTGTAATATGCACTCCTGTCGGTCACAATGTGTCATTCCGGAGACATTGCCACTGCATGTCTCCCAGAATGAGACAATTTGTTGCAATCAGAATGTGATTGCAAAAGTTTGACCGACAAGAGTGTAATATGCACTCTTGTTTTAATAAATTTTAAATACTATATAAGTATCTTTACATACAATCTTTACATTATATTTTTTCCCAATTAATATTTATTTCATATTTTTTGTGCTTTATCTAACTTATAGCATGTACTGAACTATTTTACAGACTCTACTGAGCTATCTCAACATATAAACCAGTGAAAAAAAAACATCTATACTCACTTCATATTCTGATCTCATGTCATATTATCGCAAAAACTATATTTATACACCACACCTCATAAAACATCATTTTACCCCTATCTAAGCGTTCAAAACCTATTTTTTCCGCGTAATCTGATTCTTCAGGATCCGCTGATTCGATTTCTGCCGTCAGATCGCGAAAATATGCATTACATAACAAGATATACACAAATTACTAAACTTAATATTTTCCTTAAAATTGCTTATTCCTCTATATGACAATATTTATTATCTTCTCCGTTTTCCCTCACAAATACATTTAATTTTCTGAGTAATACGTATAATAAAATGAATATCTCAAAAATCAAATACAAAATTAATAATGGATAATGACTAGATATAATCTGAACTTTTGAATGCATACATTTTTTGAAAAAATTGGATTTTGAAAAATTATGTTGTTTGTGTATGAACTTCAAGAGAAATTTTAAGGAAAATATTAAGTTTAGTAATTTGTGTATATCTTGTTATGTAATGCATATTTTCGCGATCTGACGGCAGAAATCGAATCAGCGGATCCTGAAGAATCAGATTACGCGGAAAAAATAGGTTTTGAACGCTTAGATAGGGGTAAAATGATGTTTTATGAGGTGTGGTGTATAAATATAGTTTTTGCGATAATATGACATGAGATCAGAAGAGGGGGGCACAAACTTGCCCACCGAGGTGAAGTGAAAAGTGACAAGTTTACATGTCAGAAATGTAAAGTGTCAGATTTGAAACAAAAAATGGATTAATTTATTATTATATGATAGAGAGATTTGGTAAGTTACTATCAAATTTGTAAGTAAGGGGGAGAAAAAAAAGTAAGAAAGAAAAAAATTTTAAAAAATAAAAAGCCACTCGCTTCGCTCGCGGTTGACAAAAAGAACAAATTCGAAAAATAATTGTATGAAATTACGAAACTAAGCCACTCGCTTCGCTCGCGGCTTAAGAAAAGAACAGATTCGAAAAAAGATTGTATGAAATTACGAAACTAAGCCGCTCGCTTCGCTCGCGGCTTAAGTAAACAACATATTTCAGATTATCGATACTAAAAATTTTTTATTTTATTACTTTTTTTTGCATTTTTTTAAAGCTTCTTCACTTAAATCATGGAATGTCTCAAAGACAAAAGTAGCATACAGCATGTAAAGCTAAAGAAAGATAATCATAATTAATACCTTAATTTTTAATATTACGCATTTTTAGGTGCAAAATTTAAAAACATTCTAATACAATAGAGCAGTTTCCAAAAGTAGCATACAGCATGCAAAGCTAAAGAAAGATAATCATAATTAATACCTTTAAAGTTTAAAATCTTGATTTTTTTAAAATCAAATATTTATAACTTTAATACATACAGCTTAAACCTTATACTTGTTTTCTCTTGTGAGAAAGCAATCTTACAAAGCTAACAATCCTAAAAAATAAAGAATTAAAATTTAATAATTTAATCTAAAATTAAAATCAAAATTAAATAAAATGAGTTCTTTGTAATAATACTTTCAAGGTAGGATATATTTTAGTGGGATCTATTGAGTCATCACTAACAGCATTGAGCAATCTATTGAGCATTGAAATACTCTCGATTTTTCTTTGTCTTTTTACATCAATTTCTGCGTTAGTTGCTTTTTCCATGATCCTAATGACACGGTCATCTGCTGGATTTTGATCAATTTTGAGTTTGATAACGAAAGATGGTATCACTTTTGTATAAATTTCTATAATAACATCATCAATTCTGAGATTTTTTCGATCAGGAAAATAGTCATGTTTGAGTGTTCTAAAATGAGCTTCGGCAATATTGTTAGTTGCGTCGCCTTCACGCCTGTCACGAGCAATCCATCTTGATATGTTGTAACGCCATTGTCTGTTAAAGTATTGAGATGCTGTTGGATCTGTGTCGAGCAACTCCAGAACTTGATCATAGGCAGCATTTGCTTCTTCCTCATGTTCTGCATCTAATTTGAAGACTAAATCCTTCATCAAATTATAGAATTGTTCAAATTTTTCTTGAGAAGAAAACTTATTTGATTTGCGAAGAATTGCACGAAGAACATGTACTCCGCACCAAAGTATTTGAGCTTGTGGAATGCTTTCTTCTATTGCTTGAGCTATCTGTGGAGCACAGTCCATGCTAATGTATTCTGGCTCAATTGTTACCCATCTGAGATAGGCGCACACGCAAACTTGAATGTTTTGATAAGTGTCTGGTTGACAAAAGAAATATAAAAAAGGGAAAATGTGAAAATCTTTGATTTTGCCAGTAAATGCATACAATGGAATGTTTGATCGCAACAATTTATAGGTGCTGTCTATATGAAATGTCTTGATACTATGCGCATAAGCTTTGCCTTCAAAAGGCGCGTAATAGAAACACATATTATTGTCTGAGACTTCAAATGCAATGAGATCATCTGGAGATTCTTCTTGTACTGTCTGAACAAAGATTTGCAATGACACAACATCGTCAGGAGAATATCTAGTTTGAAGAGCATGTATTCTCTCTGCAAATCGTTTGATTGCACGTGGTTTTTGAGCGTACATCTCTGGAATGGACGGACCTGTAAGAGGAATTTCAAGATCTTTGAATGCATTTAGCTGTGCTATCGCTCTTTGATTGTCATCTGTTTGGAAGTAATGTTCTAAATATTTGCGATAAAAGACAGACGAATATTGACTTTTGTCATTTGGGGCGGAATGATCATGTTCTTCAACTATTTTGATTAGTTTGTATTTATTTTGATCCAAGATTGCAACATTAAAATGTGCAGGACATTTTGGATATTTGCAGTGGAATGAAATCTGAGATCTTTCTTTCCTGACACGTTCACCATATCCATACTGTGCTTGTATTTCTTGTTTAACTCCAAATTTACAAAGATCCATAACAGTAAAGATAGTTTCTTCTTCTAATTCCATTTGAAATTGAAATGAAAATTAAAAATTCAGAAATTTGAATAGATTTGGTCTGTAATTAAATGAGAATAGCAGTTTGTTCGTCATTGTTTGAGGCAAGAGTATTATAGGAATATTATATGATGGATTTGAGTTGCATATAAAGAGTGCAAAAGGATAAAGAGAGAAATTTTGTTAGATTAAATTATTAAATTTTAATTCTTTATTTTTTAGGATTGTTAGCTTTGTAAGATTGCTTTCTCACAAGAGAAAACAAGTATAAGGTTTAAGCTGTATGTATTAAAGTTATAAATATTTGATTTTAAAAAAAATCAAGGTTTTAAACTTTAAAGGTATTAATTATGATTATCTTTCTTTAGCTTTGCATGCTGTATGCTACTTTTGGAAACTGCTCTATTGTATTAGAATGTTTTTAAATTTGCACCTAAAAATGCGTAATATTAAAAATTAAGGTATTAATTATGATTATCTTTCTTTAGCTTTACATGCTGTATGCTACTTTTGGAAACTGCTCTATTGTATTAGAATGTTTTTAAATTTTGCACCTAAAAATGCGTAATATTAAAAATTAAGGTATTAATTATGATTATCTTTCTTTAGCTTTACATGCTGTATGCTACTTTTGGAAACTGCTCTATTGTATTAGAATGTTTTTAAATTTTGCACCTAAAAATGCGTAATATTAAAAATTAAGGTATTAATTATGATTATCTTTCTTTAGCTTTGCATGCTGTATGCTACTTTTGGAAACTGCTCTATTGTATTAGAATGTTTTTAAATTTTGCACCTAAAAATGCGTAATATTAAAAATTAAGGTATTAATTATGATTATCTTTCTTTAGCTTTACATGCTGTATGCTACTTTTGTCTTTGAGACATTCCATGATTTAAGTGAAGAAGCTTTAAAAAAAATGCAAAAAAAATTGAATACTTTACTGGCTGGGCAAATTTGTCGCCGCCCCGAGATCAGAATATGAAGTGAGTATAGATGTTTTTTTTTCACTGGTTTATATGTTGAGATAGCTCAGTAGAGTCTGTAAAATAGTTCAGTACATGCTATAAGTTAGATAAAGCACAAAAAATATGAAATAAATATTAATTGGGAAAAAATATAATGTAAAGATTGTATGTAAAGATACTTATATAGTATTTAAAATTTATTAAAACAAGAGTGCATATTACACTCTTGTCGGTCAAACTTTTGCAATCACATTCTGATTGCAACAAATTGTCTCATTCTGGGAGACATGCAGTGGCAATGTCTCCCGGAATGACACATTGTGACCGACAGGAGTGCATATTACACTCTTGTCGGTCAAAATATCGCTATCTGAACCCAATTCCGGACCAGTACCCCATTTTGCGATTAATCCAATGGGAATCACTTCCAACATTAGAACTTTATAGGTGGATCCCAATAATTTATTAAATTGTTCGATCTATTCCTGCATACTACTTTCAAATTAAGAAAGTTCTTGTCTAATGCATGAATATTTTCATACGCATTGCATCAATGATCTAACAATTTAAAGCTCGCTAACAACCTAAAGCAAAAAACAAAATGATCTGCTAACTATGCAGGCAGCTCAAGCGCACCAAGGGGAGGCGTTTTTCTGAATTGGGCGATCTTCGTGAGATCTCAGGAGGCGAAGATTCGGAACCCAACCGGCTTCAAGCTGTAACATCTTGCTAGCAGGCCATACATTTTTAAACCGCCTCTAACCGTTCATCTCGACCACATTATCGGCATTCATATATATATTTGAATATTATGACAAATAAAACCATTTGTTTGATCGAAATTGAGTAATTTATTGTTAAAATAAAAAAAATTAAGAAAAAAGTTTGTCATTTTCTTTGATATTTATATATTTGAAATCTACCTTATAAATATTAAAAAAAAGGTAGTGGGGCCTCCAGGCGCGTTGCGCCCTCTAGCCCTGAAGATGTTTAGTATAAATGAAGTTTATATTTGGAGGGCTTCCAGGCGCGTTGCGCCCTCTAGCCCATAAGAAATTTTGCCCAAGACCCAAGAGGAGGACCGAAACCCAGCCGACCAGCCGGTGACACTTTTTGTGTCGCTTTTCACAAATTATATATGTTTTCATGTTTTGTCACTTTTCTGTCACTTTTCGGGTAAAAACATTTTTATTATTATATATAAATGAATTTTACAAAACCGCCGTTACCGTTCTTTGGAAATAAGAGTAGATGTAAAGATATTATATTGAGAGAACTTAAGAAACTACCGAATGGTCTAACATTTGTAGATTTGTTCGGTGGAAGTTTCTATATATCCCATTTATGTCATACAATATTCCCAGACTCAAAGATTATATGCAATGACTTCGACAACTATATGGACCGTCTCAAACATATTCCAGACACAAACAATATATTGAAAGAGTTAAAAGAAAAGATACCTATAGGTAAGATGGAACGTATACCATTAGATAACAAAAATATTGTGAGAGAGGTTTTGAAAAAAGCAGAATATATAGACTGGAATAGTATATCTGCTAGACTATTATATAGTGGTGCTATAAGAGTTCATGACATTGAAACACTTATGTCAAAAGTTTTATATCTTAACTATACAAATGTTTTCAAAGAGGACATAGAAAAATATATTGAGGGTATAGAGTTTGTGAGATGTCATTGGACAGAGTTGTATGAAAAATATAAAGACAAGGAAAATGTTTTCTTTATAGTGGACCCGCCGTTCTATAACACATGGGATTTTCAATACCAAGTAGACTGGACTTTGAGAGACTCTTTAGAAACTTTAGACGTTATACATAACCATCCATGCTTTTACTTTACATCCGATAAAAGTGGTTTGGAAACCGTTATGAGATGGTTAGAGGACATACATGACTATGAGTTTATATATGACAAGATAGAATATGAGAGAGGTCCTATAAACCGGAGAAAGTGTCACAATAAAGAAATTTTATTAGTAAGTAAATGTGGTTTGAAATAGGACTACTTGTTTTAGGTTTTTTCCATTGTGTCATTTATTTCTTTGACGTGGCAGAAAAGTACAGAGAATATGAAGATGAACCAATGCCTGCAAATGTTCAGTATATGTACTCGTAAGAGATATTTTTATCTAATATTAAATGGACGCACAGAACTTAGCGAATGCACAGCAACCTGGACAACCAAACCCAGAGAATATTCCAAATGAAGTTAGAATACAAACTGCAATGGCAAACTATGGTCAAGTGCCAACAGATGTACAAATGCAAACTGCCATGTCAAATGACGCTGCGTTAGGTTTGCCACCATGGTATGCAAATATGAGATGGAAAGAATTTTATACAAACCCCGAAGTGGGATATAAACAACTTTATGCAGATGACGCGAACACAGGAGTTGACCCAGAATATGTTTTCTACCAGAGGAGAAACAGAATGTATGAGCTCCAGTTAAAGAATGCTATGGAACTCAACAGGAAACGTAAGAGACTAGGCGGACATTAGATTTTTACACGTAGTAAATGGGTTTCTTCAGTAAGATAGGAAACTTCTTCAGAAGAGTTGGAAGAGGTATATGGAATGGAATAAAATCTGTCGGAAGAGGAGTATGGAACGGTGTCAAAAATATTGGTAAAAGAGTAGGTCAGTTTGTTGGTATTATACCTAAAGACCCTGAACCAGAAGAGCAAGCTCCTGTTATACAACAGCCTGAACCTGCACCACAGTCTAGTTGGCAACCAAATCCAACACCTCAACCGTATTAAAAAATTATATTTTTATCGTTCGATAGTAGTTGTATATGAAACTAAGTTCTAAGTAAAACGCATGGTATAATGGAATTATTCTTTTTCTTCCATCTGTAGTAAACCATACTTGAAAGTCTGAAATACTTCCACTCGGCGGTTCATATAACTTTGTAGGTTTTTCGTAAAAGTCATTCATCAGACATAAGAAAGAGTTTTGCGCACCAGAAAATGAAGCATGAACAATAATAGCATCTGGGTCGAAAATATTTTCATATGTTCCATTAGGGTTTTCGACTTCATAATAGTCCGGGTGTACTGGATATGCTGCAGGCTGATTTAACATCCTCATAAATCTATACCATGCCAAGTTGTTATATTTTGTAGAAATATAAACGTTTTCTCCAAGGTCTTCTATTTTATTGATTTTAACAGTTGCATTTTTCCTGTCATAAATAATATCGAGATGGTATTCTCCTTCGTCAATGTTATACTGGTTTGCATATTCAATATAGATATCGTTTATTTTTTCTTGAAAAGCTTGAAGAGTTGTTTCTAAGTTTATAAGCAAACTAACTTGTAAAAGTTTTCCCTGTTCAAATTTCTCATACATACGTTTTTCTTTGTTATAGTATCGAACTTCAAAACCGACCGTAAATGGGAAACCATGTATGGCTTCTGAAATGAACTTCATTCTACGAAAGCCAATAGCTTTTGTGACGGATGGGTCTCTTAACCATCTTAATGGGTAGTCAAAACGATAGCCTTCATGCTTTACGGTATCTGTCTCAAACTTTTGACCGACATTAGTAAAAAGTTCATCTAATGGTTTAGTTGTAGCAACTCTAGAATTTTCTTTTTCTATTGGAAGCATATTTTATCTATAATAAAAATGTCAAATGAAACAGCGTCTATGAGAGAAATACAACACAACCGACAACTCATTATGCAAGCTCTAAATAAGAACACAACAAACCTTTCAAACTATTCTAAGATATCTGAGTCATTGAAAGAAGGAAACTTAAAACTGACAATAAACCCTATAACAGATGAGTTTCTATTTCAAGACAATAAGAACAATACTGTCTGTATAAATCCAACAAAAGGAACTTTAAACGAGAAACCTATAAATGAACTTCTTTTGAAAGCAGATGTTGACAACAAAGCTGACAAAGAATATGTAGACGATGCAATAGCAAAAGAAGAAGAAAGACCTAACAATGCTTATGCAACAAAAGAACATACTCATCCTGAACTAGCAGACAAAACATATGTTGACAATAAAATGTCAAGTGAAGTGACAAGAGCTGAAAACGAATATTCTAAAAAGACTCATATACATTATATTAACCAAATACCAAGTCTTAAGGAAACATTAGAGACAAAAGCAGATAAGACTCATACACATTCTATATCTGATATTACAAACTTACAAGAAACCTTAAACAGGAAAAGTGACGTTGGACATACACATACCATTGCAAATATTACAAACTTACAAGAAACCTTAAACAGGAAAAGTGACGTTGGACATACACATACCATTGCAAATATTACAAACTTACAAGAAACCTTAAACAGGAAAAGTGACGTTGGACATACACATACCATTGCAAATATTACAAACTTACAAGAAACCTTAAACAGGAAAAGTGACGTTGGACATACACATACATCTTCTGAAATAACAGACTTAAACGTTAGCCTTGAAAAGAAAGCAGATAAAACATATGTCAATGAAATATACCAAAGTTTGATAGGAACAAAAAATATTGAAACTATTGTTGGTGACTTTTCTGTCAATGAAGAAAATAAATATTTTAGATGGCAGTTGGTACAGTCCTTAGAAAATGGTACACGGTATAAACTCATTCCGAAAAATAACAATGAAATGTATGTAAGCTATAAAAAGAATGATGGTACACAAGTTAAAGTTCCATTAGACAACAACTGCTACTTAAACTTATATGGAGACGAACAAAAGAAATATTTAAGAGTTTATGAAATGGCAGATATGACATTGCCTGACCCAGCTCCAGCACCACATTATTATGACTATGGAGATGACGACAGAACACCACATGTAGATGAACAAAAGCTAACATTATATTTAGATTATTATAGATATAAAAGATATAATGCAATAGAAAAAACGAGAATAGTATATTATTATACAGATGACAGAAATAAATATTATAGTCAAGATTTTACCTACCCTGAAAACATAAGATTATATTATAAAAAATATTCTGACACAAACCAGAAGAAACCTGAAATAGTTGCACTATATTTTAAGTTCAAAAGAGACAATCCTATAATATCTCATATGTTTGATTTAATGAACCCAGTAGGTTCTATTTATACATCTATGGAAGCAAGAGGTCCTCAAGTAATGTTTGGTGTTGGTGAATGGGAACAAATAGTCGACAGGTTTTTGTATTGTGCAAACTCTTCAAAGGAAACAGGTGGAAGTAAAACGATTTCAGGTGAAAATTTACCTGCACACAGTCACTACATAGATTTAAGTACATCTCAAGCAGGTTGGCATAAGCATAGATATTGGGATTGGTCAGGAATGACAAAAGGTAAAGGATATGATGTTAAAGACGACGTTAAGTATGCTATAAATTGTTACTGGAGTGACACTCAGGGAGAAGGAAACCATACACATTTTGTTTCAGGATATACGCAAACAACGGGACAAAGTAAAGAATACATGCCACCTTACATGACAGTTTACGCATGGTATAGAATTGCTTAGTCGTCATTTTCAACTTCTTTAGCATATTCGTCAGGAGTTGTCTTATATTTGTTAGGAACTGTCTTTGAAAGTATACCACCTTGAACTTTGACAAGTTTGAAACGAGGTCTGGCAATAGTAGTTTTATCTTCTGCTTGCAGTGTGTACATTTTGCCATGTTTGCCTAAAACTTCATAATATTCTCTTGTATACTTTCTTCTATTTTTACGAACACGAATGTGAGTACCTGTCGAGTTCCCATTGTTGTCATAGTCAATAGTATTTTCATATGGGTCGCGTTTAGGTATTTCTATTTTTACTTTGTCACCTTTCTGAAGTTTGAAGCCCGGCATTCTTTCTTGTTTGTCTCTTTTGACTAAATTATTAAATATATAGTCTTTCTCTAAGTCAGGGTTGTTTTTCATTTCTTCGGGGGAGTGGTTTCCCAAACCTTTTTGTTTACGGTTATTGTAAATATTTAAAACTTGTCTCATCTTTGCCATGGAGAAGTGTCTATACTTGTCGTCATATGACATTTCATTTGCTTCACCACCTTGTGGTTGGTTTAAGTCTCTTAACATTTTTATACATCCGTCAATGACACCAAGAGCAGAATGGTTTTGGTCGACAATGAAATATTGGTTTACATTTTTTGAACGCAGATAGTTTTTTACATCATCTGATTTGAAAGAACTTTCACAGTCAGATGTCAGTTTTGTTGGATGGTATTTGTCAACGAATATTGTCAAAGCAGTTTTCACATCTAAAATATTTTTGGACCATAATGGTATGGCTTCACAGTATCTTGTGTTTTGACCAACAAATATTAACCAGTATGGAGGTCCATCTGTTCTAACTCTCGGAATGTTTTCCAAGATATCCATAAACCAAGCATTTGGTGTTGAACTAAAGATTTTTATCATGAGTGCTTTCTTTGTCGCTTTAGAAACATAGGGGTCCTTGTTCGGATTCGTCATTTTTTACCCTATAAGAAATGGGTTTATTTGGCGCATTAGCAGGAGTTGCATCCAGCTTTTTACCCGCAGTGGGAACAATAGCTAGAGGTGCATTTGGAATTGGAAGGAAGATTTTGAGTACATTAGGTATACTTAAAGAGAAAGCACAACCTATTATACAAACTGTACAGAAAGGTTGGAATGTAGCACGAGATGCAACAAATCTTATTCCAAATCCTGAAACAAGAGGAAAAGTTCAAGGATGGATGGACAATGTAGGAAGACAAGCAGGAAACTATTATAACAAAGCAAATGACTACTATAACCAAGCAGGACACTATATGGACCAAGGTGAAAGATTCTTTAACAGAGGATATAACCATGCACAACAGTGGGTAAACAATAACCAACCTCAACCGCCTCAAACGTGGGGAATGTAAAGTTTTTTATTGAGATGAAATGAACAATACAGCATTGAGACAAATGAGTTCAAGATGGATTTGTCGGCTTCCAGCAGTTACACCACGTGTTTGTAAAGTTCTTCCTATACCTCAGGAAATTTTAGACCGACTTAAAAAACCTAAACAACCAGTTGAAAACAAACCAAACTAAAATTTTTTACTGAGATGAAATGACCGAAGAAGTTGAAACGGTAGATTTGACACCACAAACAAAAAGTTCAGAACCATTGTCAAAACCTGTCAAAGAACTTACAGATGAAGAGAAAAATTCAATAATAGAAAGTGCCAGGTCTGGAAATACAAACCCTAACTATAAAGTCACTTTTCATAGAAATGGAACGGCTAGTATCTCAAAAAAGAAACAGACTCTCACAAATAAAATATTGAAGTCTGAAGGAGCTTTCGAGACAACAGATGGAAAAGTTTACTTCACTGACCAACAGTTCATTATAGAACATCTCATTGACTTAGAGTCGAAATATTCTAAACTTTACAACAAACACAAAAAGTTGAAAGGAAAACAAAAACAAATGGCATATGATATTTATGAAGATGTTGACGACACAACTGTTCCTGCAAGTGAAGTAAAGTCAGAGGAACCGAAAAGTGACGAAAAACCGATAGAAGAAGAAAACCAAAAACTGAAGATAAACCAAAACCAAAGTTTAGTTTCCAAACTAAACCAAGTCAACCTTCATTAGCTGGTATGGGTTGGCGTCAAAGACTTATGGCAGCAGGCGGTTATGTAAAGTAAAGAAAAAAATATTTTTTTATTTTTATAAAAATGCCCCCATATAGAATGGATAGAAAGTCTGCTAGAATAAAAGCAGAGTTACAAAGATATGGTTGGAGAGTTTCGAAGAATTTTAAATATAGGAAGGGAAGACCCATAAAAGTCTATGACAAATTGTCTGGTCTTCGCTACGAAATGGATTTGGAAACAGCACGTGTCAATTATCCAAACAGACTAGAGAGGTTAGAAGAAGAACGTCTTATGGACATGCCTTTCGATGTTAGTGAACCTCAAGTTGAAGGACACGACGGCTTTGCCAGATTCTACTGGAAACATGACGAACAATTGCATCCTTTGAGAAGGAAAAAAGGAAAAGGTGAAGACGCACATGCTCCCATGGAAAGAACAAGATATGCATATGAAAAGTATCGTGAAGTTAGAAGTCAAATTACATCTGGTCGAACCTTTACAGTAAACTTTGACGAAGGAAAGAACAAAGAAGGCTTCATGGGAGTACTTGCTGCAATTCAAGACGGAAATAAGAAAGGACACAATCTCAGATTGACCATAACAGATTTGGATGGTCACATTTACTATGCACATGGCAATGTCACAACAGCTGCAATGGTTCTTGACGCTTTCAAGACTACAAAGAGAGAACAAATGGTTGACTCCGACTCAGACATTTTGAATGCAATTGAAGGAATTGCAAGTGTCAAGTTCGAATGGTACCAACCTAACCCTCAAGCAGTCAGACAACATGCTGGATACTTCCCCTTCATAAATAAGTCTGACATTGACTTGACAAGGTATGGAATTTACAATTCAATTGAAACAATTGTCAATGAACCTTGCATTCTTACATGTCTCAGGAACTCTGGTCTTGTTACAGATGAGAAGATGAAGTATCTTGAGTCATGTGTGAAGACAAGGTACATTCTCAGAGGTCAATTGGCAAAAATTGCACCGTTGGCAAATGTCAATATCCGAGTCAACATACCTACAGCTAAAGGTTCTTCACATGACGACTATGTTGTTGACAAAGACTTACCATGGTTGAAGATTGTAATTGTCCACAACCACTTCATGTTGAACGAAAGTCTTACAAACCCATTCTTTGGTAAAAGTAAGTGCAACATTGTCAGAGCTGTAAACATTCTTTTCGAGAAAGGTTTGTTGGAACCAATTCCAGATGACAAGCTGACAGAAACTTTTGTACCAAAAGACGAAACAAACTTTTCATTGTTAGCAAGACCAAAAGTTGTTCCAGACAAAGTTCTAGTACAAAAGAAGTACACAGTTCCACAAGGGGTTGGTATGTTCGGATACCAACCTGAACCAGAAGAACTTCCAATGAGGTTGCAAGAACTTCAAGATGCTATAAACAAACTTCCATTGAGACATCCAATTGACGTCAAATTGTATTGGAGAGCATCTGAGTTAGGTCAGAAGGTTTTATATGAAACAGGTTGCTTCGACGATGTTTATGAGATAACAGGAGAAGTTTCTCAGAAGATAAGAGACTCACTTGAATTTCCACAAACTGGACCAATTGGTTGCGACAAGTTCGACTCAGATGAAAAGATATACTATGTCGACCTTAACGCTGCATACATGAGGTTTGTCCAATATATTCCGACTGGAATTCCAAACGAAGATGGTGAGTTTCCGGGAAGGAACTATACAGTTTGGAAAAGTCATACAACAACTGTATGATATTAGGAAAGCTTCAAACCCCAAACTTGCAATGACACTCAAATTGCTTATGAATTCGACATGGGGATATTCCATTAAGAAACCTCAAGAGATGAAGAGTAAACATTATGAGAAGGTCGACAACTTTGTTGAAAGGTTTTCTCCTTTTGTTTTGAAGTACGAATTCACTCAAGGTCAAAATGGCTTAGTAACCACATTAAAACCTATTGTCGAACATTGGTCTTACCCTCAGTTCGCAAAGGCAGTACTTGACAACTACAACAAATTCTTCTCCGAAGTCAAATCCAAAGTGAAGGTTTACTATGAGAACATTGACGCACTCATGACGAACGAAGAAGGCTATAACAAACTCATTGAAATGGGTTTAGTCGGTGAAAAGATGGGCTGTTTTAAGCTAGATAAGGTATTTTCCGAAGTTCATGTAATATCGAAAAGGAAATATTGGGGCATACTTGAAGACGGCACAGAACTAAAACATTGCATGAAATAAAAAATTTATTTTTTAAAAAGTGAAATTTTTTTAATTTTATTTGAAATGTACGCTGAGTTTGTTGGAGAAGACCGTTGGGAAACTTGTTTGTTAGATGAGAAATATGAAATGGCATACCATTTTAAACAATATATTTTTACATATATTAAATGCTTCAGGTTGAAAAACAAAGAACAAAAGTAGCAGATACAAAACCGTTAGACTATATCTTTACAAATGCTGGTAGGACTATTTCAGATGAAGAAATTTCATCCCGAGCATACAGGTTTGACTATCCAATTCGTTGGCTTCAAAGTCCTTCAGATGCAAAGGCAATAGGATTTAGAAGAGTTTTGTTTTCAAATAAAACTAACGCATTTATGTTCGCAGTATATTTTCATGGGCAGTATGAAGGTTCTGATGGTCTAATAGACAAATTTGATGAAATGAGAATCTTTACAGTTCGTTCAGACGAAAGTCTTGAGAAAACTCTAAATGACTTTCAAACTCAAATGAACAAATATTATTGGGAATTTCAAAAAAAAATACGACTCTTTACTAAATGGAACATACTATCTGAAACTAGAATATGACAAGATGAACTCCACCGTTTCATTTCAAAAGATTGAAATTAACCCTCCAAGAGATACAGAGTTTTTATTTTGGGAAGTAGACAAACGTTCTTGGGCACAATTTCTTCGGTTACTAAACCAGAACGAACCATTACCACCAGATGGTCCATTTAAATTTATACTTCCACCAGCAGATTTGATGGTTTATAGAAACGTGTTTGACCCTCAAAATGTTATGTGTCATGCAAGTTTCAGTTCAAGCAACAATAGTTTTCTATGTATTGGTAAGGACTTTTATGACTTTGCTTCTAAATTCTACGAACCACCTAGTAACAGTTTCTCTGACTTTCAAGTTTGGTTCACAACAAATGGTGTGCAACATATTATTCCATTGTACTATGACTTTTATCTCGAATTGTCTTTCATATATAACTACGGAAAAGTGCTGAAAAAGTATTGAATGTGAAGATATTAGAAAATAACATTTTTTCTAACATCGTAGAAAACTCATGAAAACAATTTATTTTTGACACTTTCACAAAAACATAAAAAAAGTGAGTTAAAATGAGATGTTTACTGAACTGGCTGAATGTCGCCTTCTGTAGTTATGTAGAATGGTTGACCAGAGAAGTGAAGGAGACCCTTGAGAATTTGGTTCATTCTTGGGAAAGGGTTCTCTCTGTTTGGAAGTAGTATCAAGGACGCTTGGCAAAGAACTTGAGAAGAGCTTCTTTCTTTGCTTGCTTTATGTCGTCGTAGGCTGTCCCGTCTGGTATTTGAATTGGAATTCCAGTCGAAGTCTCGAGCTGAAGTGTAGACCTTCCAGAAATAGTGGTAAACTTGACCTTGGGCTTCATGACCTTGCGCATGTAGTCTTTTACGCAGTCGTTAATTTCAATTAGGTAAATTGCCTCGTCAAGTCTTTCTTGCATTCCAAGTTCTTCCATCCGACAGGAAAATATTTTCCGGACAAAGGGAAAAATTTTTCCTTCCGACAGGAAGAACTCTTCCATCCGACAGGAAAAAATTTTCCGGACAAAGGGAAAAATTTTTTCCTTCCGACAGGAAGAACTCTTCCAGTTGTCCGTCCGTAAACCATTCAAATTTTCGAAAATTGAGAACTTTTTGGTCGAACTTTCGAAAAAATTTTCCATCCGACAGGAAAAAATTTTCCGGACAAAGGGAAAAAAATTTCCTTCCGACAGGAAAAGTTCTTCCTTCCGACAGGACACAAACGAATGTCCGACGTCCCACCAACCGAGTCCATTCCCAAACCAGAGGAACCTAAAGAACCACAACAGTCTCCTCAGCAACCTCAGTTCCAGCAAGTACCTCCGAATTACTACCAATTTCCACCTCAAGGTTACTACCCACCACAAGGCTTCCCGAACTACCCTCCTCAGCCTATGCCTTACTGCCCCAACCCTTGGATGTTCCAGCAAGCTCCACCCCAGCAATTCCAATCTCAGTCCAAGAGAGACCAAGACTTCGAAGAAGGTCTGAACCGCTTACGCAAAGAGTATGCTACAGCTCCAATTGAGAGAAAGTTGTTCCCGGACCAAAAAATATAATTTAGGTGAAGAGGTGAGATTTCACCTCTTTTTTCACCTGTTTTTTCACCCTCTTGAATTTTCATGAATTTTATATATTAATGTTTTCGCTAAGCCACTTTGTGCCGTCAGTCAGTCAGTCAGTTTAGGAAAGACTTTAGAAAGTTGTTGGAAAATAAGTCCTGGGAAGAGTATTATAAGGCATTTTGTGAAGAATATAGCAACAGTCTGAATTCAGACGGTTGCTTTTTATACAAAATTCATGCAGGAAATTCTTGAGTTTTGGTTGAAAGAATACGATGGAGCCAAAAGTGGCTCGACCTAAAAACAAGCATTTTATGAGCTTACTAAGGGCGTTATAAATGAATTCAAAGGTATTTACATACATCCTGACCTCGTTCATTTTGTTGCTGAATTCAGCAAAAATAATGTTTAGGTGAAGAGGTGAGATTTCACCTCTTTTTTCACCTGTTTTTTCACCCTCATGAATTTTCATGAATTTCCTTAAGATAGAAAAAATAAAGTTAGTATTTTTATTTATTTTTTATTTTGTATAAAAGAACAGAAATGTCAACAATCGGCACAACAACAATTCAAACAACAGCACCAAACTCGTTAGTCATGAATCCAACATCTATGTTAGTAGAAATGAAAAGCTTCATTCCTTCTTCATATACTTTTGAAACAGAAATCCAGAAGATAAAGCAAGAACTTTTAACAAGTAATTTAGACTGTAGTGCGAAAGATGAAACAAATGAACAGTATCTTTATGAAATGGAGGTCCTCATCGACCATTTGCCTAAACTACCTGAAATTCAGCAGCAAAAACTAACTATTCCTGAATTCGACGAAATTGAAGTCAAAGCAACTGACTCAGTAGAAATAAAGAAGTTCATACGAAAGGTAAATTATGAATTCCTTGGTTTTCATTGCAACCATAAAGTTATGGACAAAGATTGCGACATGGTATATAAGAACATCTCTGACATATATAAATCTGGGGAGTTTAAGACATACGACAACTTTGTTTCATTAGCTGCAAAATGTGTATGGCAGATAAGAGATAAAGATAGAAGAGGTAAGGTATGGAATGAACAGATAAAACCAACTGCTTCAGATTTAAAGAAAACCATTGACGCCTTGGTTGTTTTAGCAGGTAAGGTTTCAGAATATAACGCAAAAATGAACCCGCAATGTTCTAAATGTAAAGCAGCAATAAGAAAATATAACTACTCCGTCAAAGAGATAGAAAGAATGCGAAACGACTATGCAGACTTAAAGAAAGAAGCAGAGAAGCCGGTAGAAAATAAAATGGACATGTTAGAATTTCTGAACAAAAACTATCCAACTGCTGACGATTTCCTTCTATCTGATGTCAAGAAGAAGTATAAAGAAACTTTCGGTATCGTTAAAACATTCGATGTACTAAAAGAAGAAATAGAAGCTACGAAACTGTTTAGGATTTCAAATATACATCGTACAATTCATGTAAAACGCTTATAAAATAACTGGGGTGAAAAATTAGGTGAAAAAAGAGGTGAAATCTCACCTCTTCACCTAAAATATATTTTTATTGAATTCAGCAACAAAATTCTGAGTAAAATGGCATATGGCATGTGTCAAACCGTTGAGTTTTCACAAAATTTAAAAAATAACGTTTCACATGGTAAACGTTTATAAAATAACTGGGGTAGAAATGAGGTGAAAAAAGAGGTGAAATCTCACCTCTTCACCTAAACATTATTTTTATTGAATTCAGCACAAAAATCATGAATTTCCTCATATGCTTGCTTCCCTCGGAAAACCGAGAGAAGAGATTCCGTACGAAAATCGCAAGAATTTGGCTCCTGGTTTGAAAGGATATTATGTACATAGACTTCTTGTAAATGCTGTTGCAATGTGGGCTTCACCTAAATTATATTTTTGCTGAATTCAGCACAAAAATCATGAATTTCCTTAAGATAGAAAAAATAAAGTTAGTTTTTTATAAAATATTTTTTTATTTTGTATGTAAAGACAGATATGTCAACAGCAGAGAACACAACAACAGTTATAGTCCATGAAGCTATAAATGAAGAATATGAGTGGGTTCAGTTTAACAAACAACTCCGTCTCATTCGTTCGGTCAAAGACGATATGTACCAAATGCAAAGTATTTTGACAGCATGTTTTGCT